TGATGAAGCCTCTACTGTGGATACCACACTGAGCAGCACACTATCCCAAACAACAGAGGAAGACTTCCTATCAACACGTAAACCCTTTGCCAAGGAGGATGGAACAACAGTACCGAACACATCAGTAGAAAGTACAGAGCAACCCAAAGCATCAGAAAAACTATCATCAGAAACTGTGACACAAGCCACTCCAAGAGTAGAAAATACAACATCAATGGTGGCTAGTGCAAAAAATATACAAGACTTAACAACACAGAAAGCTGAAAGTTCAAGTAGTGAGACAAAATCAAGCACCAAAATACCATCTTCCATGAAAACAGTGACAATGTCACCTTCAGTGAAGAAGACAACAGCTAATACAGGTATGAAGGAGGTTCAACCAACTAGAAATGCTCCAGCTTTAAGAGATATCATAACTGTCAGACTATCTAAGACAGTAGAAGTGGTGACGGAGCCAACTGTGGCAAGCACAGAACAAAGTACAACAACCACCAGGAAATCAGCACCTGGGACATCGACCTTGGACACAAATATGACAACAGTTTCACCAGGTGTAGCTGGTCAAAAGTTAATGGGAAGCACAGGTGAACCTAAGATGATGACCACAACAAGAGGAATTGAGACAACAACAGTTCAGCCTGCAGCAACAGAACACACTACAACAATAACCCAAACATCTGCAGAAGTAGCATCGGAAGGCATTCAAGAAAGTCTGAATGTTGATGCCTCTATCGACACTTCATCAAATCAGACAGGAGAAATTCTTAACACACCATCTCAAGCAACTTCTGCAACAGTCCAGCCAACTTCAACAGCTTTGTCTGAAAAAGGCATGCAAACGACAGAAACAGACATTTCTACTGCGCGGCAACATGACATTGAGGTCACAACAATGCTCCCCAAAACTTCAACTGTCCAGCCTGCACTAGTAACAACTCCAAAGGTGATGGTAAAACAAAGCACCACAACAGCAGAAACTACTGAGGATATCAGTGTGCCTGTTGCATCTACAAAAACAACAGCAACACAAAAGGTGGAAGAGCAAAGACGCTTGCCTGCAATTATCACTGTGCTAACTGCCCAACCGCCTGTTACAATGGATGAACCTGACTCCTCAACAAAAGTGTGGATACCTGAGAGTACAGAGCTAACTTCAACCTCTGTAGTAACTGAACTTACACCAGAGATGACAGTTGAGCCTACAACATTCAAGACTGAAGCTGAAAGAGAGAAACATGCAGGAAAAATGACAGAAACAACTCCTGCGCCAGTGAAACCAACTGAAGCAAACACACAAGGTACAAGCACAACAGAACCAACAGACAGTACCACCACAGAGGCAACGGTTAGTCCATCAACATCAGATATGGTAACAGAAGTTTCAACAACTTTGGATGATGTGGAAATACTGGATATAGACCAAAGTGCCTCAGGACGGGAAACAGCTGGGAGTCTTTACTTAGACAATGGTAATGAAGTCATACCCTTCCAAAAACAGGGAGAGGATGGGGAGAAAGAGACCCCATTGGGCACCACTTCAAAACTACCAACTGAGGAGATGAACACTCTCACTGAAAAGATGAAGAAATTAACAACAGAAGCAACACCAAGACCCACAGAGCCTATAACATCGACTTCTGTGACATTTGGTGAGTCTGATCAGCAGCAGAACATTTTATCATCAACTGAGCGACAAACAGTATCAATGACAACCAAGACAACTACTCCTACACCTGCAAAATTTAGTACAACAAAGCAAAGCGAACCAGAACCTACAACAACAACAACACAAAGGAACATAAAAGCAACTTCAAGTACCAACATAGATACAACAGCTCTCCCAACAAGTCTCTCTACAACTTTAACTGATGCAGACAAAACTCAACAGCCAGCCTCACCATCCACAGCAACACTGACTACCAGCATCATGATTAACAGGGAGTCAGAAACATCCACAATGGTTCAAGAAAAGCCAAGCTCTGCTAAGGTTGTGCCTGTGACAGAAAGATATCTTCCAGCAGTAGTCATCAGTGTTTTGACAATGAGACCTATTACCACAACACCAGTTACTACAACCATACAACCCAATAAAGCAACAAAGAATGACTCTGCAACAACCTCAACAGCTCTATCATCAACAGAGCTGAAAAACCTGACAGCAGAAAAGGTACTGTCTGCAAGTACCACAACAGCAAGACCACAAACAACAGAGAAGACTAATTCCACCAAAGCTATGCTGACAACAGAGTCACCACTGTACAGAACAACAACAGTCCCTCAAACTGATGATGATGTGACAGAGAAAACCAATGACAGAACACCAACAGATGCACTGTCAACCATATCTTCTAACCAATCAGCTGCAGGCAAAGAAGCAGGTAGCCTCCATGAAGGCCAGCCCTTAGACAACATGGACATGGTACCTACTACAGAGCAAACCAAGGGTAAAGATGTCTCTAGTACAACTGTGGCACCTTTTGGAGCAACAGAAACATGGGAAAGAAAAAAGGGAAAGATGACATCAACATTTAAGACAGCAGAATCGTCAACAACACAAGGGATGCCTCTGACAACATCTGGTAGCAAATACATTGAGGGAAAAGTAACAGACAAACCAACAAGGCAGATTGCCGAGACAACAAAGAGTCCAGAAGCCAGGACACTGTCAAATCCAGCCACCACATCTCTCTTTGTCCCAAACAAGGAATCAGGCACATTGCAAGAAACAACAAATGAGACTCCTAAAGTTGTGGGAACCACAGAAAAAATTTCAACTGCAAACACCATTGCTGAGTCAGAAGGTGGAGCCACCACTACACAGCCTAGCATCAAACAGACGTTAAGAAGCACTACCCCCACAGTGCCCACTGAGAGGCCAGTGAGGAATGCAGCAGCCATCATCACTGTACTGACTGCCAGACCACCAAGAGTTCAAACAGATACAAGTTTCCCAAAAACGACACCAAGTACTACCACAGCAAAAGCTTCTACAGTTGCACCAGTTAAAAAAGTGGAGGACACAACTTCAGGGCATATCCCAAAGTCTGTGGTGACAACAGAAATGGTAGAGACAAGCACAAGTGCTGTACAAGCTAAGACAAACACCCCTGCACAGGACACAGCAACTGTACTTTCAAGAAGAACAGAGTCTGTTACAAAGGATGGGCCATTGTCAGTTACAGAGATGTTACAAAAGGATTCAAACACAACACAAGAGAGAGCCACGACATCTGAAATGCCATCAGACATTTCAGAGAAAACAACACTTACTGTAAGACTGGCACAGGTCACAGGCTTTCATTCCACCAGCACAGGGGACACCACCGAGTCCACAATGTTGAACACACAAACACTGAGAAAGCTCAGTACTAGACAAGAAACAGCAACAACCCCTCTGCTCCAAGAGACGACATCAGTTCTTCCTATCACACAGAGTGCAGGAAATGCACAATTGGCAAATACAGAGTCAGAAGTGGAAAATGGTCAGGCATCAGACAAAGCAGCTCCAAATGGTACCGTGGTTATCAGTGAGACAACAACACTGGCAACAACAACACCTAAGACAACTACACATATTGGAGATGGCAAGGTTACCACTGACAAATCTGCAACTACAAGCAGTGCAGCCACAGTGACTGCCATGAAAGAAACTGAAAGAATGGTAGACGTAAAGGATGCTGCATCGAAAAAGACGTCAAGAACAACACAGGCACCCAAGTCAACAACAGCTGAAATAACTGTACAGCCTACCAAAACAGCTAGAAGCACTTCCACACAACTGATGGACACAAAAACACGGGAAGAAAGCTCTACACCAAGGGTAGACACAACTACAGTAACAGCTAAACCAGAATCCGAGGCACCACAGGACACAACGACCAGGATGTCAACACCTAAACGACAGTCTACTGAGAAGATGGTAGCCACAACAGCCTTGGGAATAGAACCAACAACCAGGGGTGCACAGGAAACAACAACTCTGCAAGGAATGCAATCAACAAGTGGGTCTGTCAAGGTGATTGACCTGGAGGATGAAGCTGGGACAACAGAGTGGATGGGTGATGGCAGAGTACCACTGTGAGTAGCAGAAAGAACATTCCATACTTTTTTTTGAAAATAAAATGAAGAATCCTACCCTGTAACTGCAGATACGAGAGATACGAATACCTATATCTGCTCATCCTACAAGCAATGTTTTATATCAGTCTATATGGCTACATTTTCTATAACTCATTTTTGACATTGATCTTTGATCTGAACAAGTAATGCCATTTCTAAGATGTCAAGTTAGATAACTTAAGTCATTGTGACAAGTCTTTTTCTACAAACTTAAGAGGAATTCCTTAAGTTGTATAGCATATCTACTGGAGTCTTTTGTTTGCAGGTCAGATGTATGGAACATGTGAATTGTGAATGATTTTAAGTTGTACAGATCTAGAACTATTTCCTTATGCAGAAAAGTAAAATAATGTAGTATAACCATTAGCTAACTGGTCATGAGCAAATGTAAAACAATGTGAGAGCATGCGAATGTATGCTTACCATTATGTAAGATGATAGAAGAAAGTTATGTTTTGTACATAATATACGTAGTCTATAAAAATCCATTCACAACTTCGTTGCAGTATAGCTGGTCTCATGAAAAATTTAGACATGTTGTAGCCCTAACATTTTAGAATATCTCAATAGTCTTGATGTATAACACTTGTACTGAAAATAAATTTTACTGGAGACATAAAATTCAGCCTTTAGATTAAGCTGTCTTCTTCTGAAAGACCTGACGGTGTACTGGCATTCTAAAATTCTATAGATTTCAGTTCAGGACAATTGACAAGGTATCTCCACTTCAGATGTTGCTTTGTTAAGAAGGAACTTGATTATTGAATAAATCATAGTGAAACATGTAATAGTGTTGGATAAATCTTCTGTGTGAAACTACATGTTTGCAGATATGTGATACCTGATGCTGCTAACAAGAAATGGTTTGCCCAGCTCCATACCTTAAAGAGTGACCTGCAGACGTACTCATACACCAGGTTCTGTAGTGACTTGATCAGGAGTTTGATCCGCATATCTGTACTACCTGGGTCCTGGACATAAAGGAGAAAACAGTGATTTCATGAATTTCATTTACTTATTTTACCAGTGGATTACATGCAGGCCTAGGCCTGTGGCCTATTTTTCAGGTATCCTTGGGTGCAGCAACAATGTCAAGTCGTTAATGACAGTGCATTGAGTGCACTACTGCAGTTTAACATTTAACACTTGCCATGTGCCATAAAAATTGCAGTGGTCTTATTGCCCTCTGACAGGGACATTTAGATTGGTCCTAGATATGAAAAAACCCACACGTTAAAGAAACCGACACACTTATAAAGAACAATAGATACAATAACAATAACAATGTGAGCCATGACATCAGCTATCAAAAAAGAAAGGGTTGATCTATTTTACAAAGGACCACCTACCAATCTGCATGGAAAATGCATTAAGTAACCCCTTGAAAAAGTAGTTTGTCCTGACCTGAGTGGTCTCCAGGGCTCTTTTGAACAGCCTAAGGAAGGAGGCCAGACTGAAGCGGTACATGTTGTTCAGCTTGGACAGGTCACTGATCACAAAGAACAGGGTGCTACCACTCTCAGCCAGGGGGAGGTATGCACTGCGCTCCTGGATGGAAAAAAATCTCCTTCGTTGATAGTTGTACTTGTGACACAAAGTAAGAACCGCACTCATATATGATACTATAGCTTTTTCCATCATCTCTTTTAGTAGGGAGGGGTAATGAGAGAATATGATAGATGGAAGAATGGATACAGCTTGGAAGGACTGATGGATGAAAGGAAGAAAAGATGTATGTATGGATAGTTGGATGGATGTATGTATGACTGTGTGTATGTATGTATGTATGGATGGATGGATGAATGAATGGATGGATGGGAAGATGGATGGATGGATATTGGTGTGTGTAGATGGTACCAACTCCTTTTAAGATGATTTTTAAATGTTGGAGTGCTTTAGAAGAGACAGAATGTCTGTCCAAAGCACTTCTCCATAAAAATCAAGGTGACCACACCTCAGTGTAAAAACGCAGGTTTCCCTACAGAAGAAGACTTAGTAAGTGTTCCACAGACCTTGTCCAGGGAGTCCTGCAGTTGTATGGACTCGTTGAGTGAGTCTGTGATGGTGATACTGCTGGCCTTTGTCTTGTTTAGGGAGTCCAGGAGGTCTTTGTTCTCAAGGATGTTACCCTGGGCATTGGCCAGTTCCTAATCAAATACAACATGCACACAATTGTAAACTTTAACTTTAAGGCCTATTTTCATAACATACCACAAGCACATCACATGCATAACCTTGTATCCACCAACAAATATAACCTAACTAAAAGAGTATCAGCTACTGAAATTTTGTTCTCAGCTTATTACTCTTTTATACATTTAATAGTAGCAGATCTTTCAGTGGTTTAATCTGGAGTCCAATGGTTGGTCACTATAGTGAGGTTTGTCTGTAGTTTAATCCCTTGGGATAAAATTATACCAGTGTGACAGGCCACCATATACCCCTGGCCAGAAAATAACCAGGTACATGTACATTCTGGCCAGGGGTACATCCGTAACAGCAGAGCGTTTGGCTCAGAACCAAGAGGTCTTGGAATCGAACCCTGCCATGTCACCGATCTTGTGCCCACTTTACACGACTTTCCTGGATGGTGGTCTGGCGAACCCCATCTGGTATTAGCCACAAAAAGGCAGAAGAATCTTCATCTAGTTGAAGGCGGCTGCCTCAAAATGAAAGAAGACGAAGACTCCTGACCTCTAGCAGGGATTCCTCCAGCTGGGCCAGCTGCACCTTCAGGTCCTCCTCCTGTCGGAGCAGTTCCGTCTTACGCACCTCCAGCTCAGGCTTCTCATGCTGGATCGTTGTGGCCAGGAGCTGCACAGGAACAACAAGAAAATCCAATCAGTCAGAGATAGCAGACATGCACACACATGCGCGCACACACACACACATACACACAGGCTTCTCGTGCTGGATCGTGGTGGCCAGGAGCTGCACAGGAACAATAGGACAACCCAGTCAGAGATGGCAACCCTTCCACTCCTCTCCACACAAACATACACACAAGTGCGCACTCACACACACACACACACTTACACAGACACACTTACACAGACACACACACACTTACACAGACACACACACACTCTCTCACACACACACACTCTCTCACACACCAACAAGCCAAAAACAACACTTCCCCCCTTTATCTTTCAATGAAGTAACTTGTTACAGGACAATACATTACAACCCAGAACAACCTTCTACCTGCTGGGAAAGCCATTCAGCACCAAGGATGCATTGTTCCCAAGGCCAACCAGCTGAGGGAAAATTATCTCAGGTCCTGCCCGCCTTACCTGTCCGCGTAAACCAGCCCTGGTGGTGGTGAAGTTGACCTCTGTGATGATGGAGGCTGCGTCCGGTGGTACCTCTGGGTTAGGGTTCCGAGTGGCCATGAACAAGCGGAAGTCTTCGTGGTAGTCTACTACCTTGTCTCCTATCTGGACAACAAAACGTGGGCCTGCAAACATACAAGACATAGTGTTAAAATGGGCTTCAAACTGAAAGTAATTAATGGTCATGCAGGTCAATTTCATGCATGACCACAAAAAATCCAGCTTCATTTGCAAGGGCTTTTTGCTACATACATGTACATACATTTTTGCCCTTTTTTTAAGAAAGACATATTCACAAATTCTTTCCTGCGGTTTAAATTTATATGCTTTGACAAAAGGCCAAAAAAGGCCAGATGCCAACTCACACTCACCCACTCTGTCACGTAGCCGTTGGCCGTAGGGTCAGATGCCAACACTTTTAACGTTTAAAAGCAGAAATTTTGGGGGAGGGGAGCAAATCTGTCTACATGTCAAATGCAGAATACAAAGTACTACATTGTAGTACTAACCTTGACTGGTGAGGTCTCCCCTCAGCAGAGGGTACAGGATGGGCTCCACCCCATCCATCTCCTTGATGAGCAGGGTTTTCCCGAATCTCACCGCCAGCTCCAGGGCAGTGGTGAAGTTGGCATCCTGAGGGAGAGAGACGGGTATCATAGGCTGTTACTATCTTATACTATCATGAAAGTTTATCATTCTGTGTTGTGAAAGAGGCTACTTACACCAGGGCCCACCACCCTTCACTTAACCACAACAGGGGCCAACATTGACTACCAGATACCTTTGACCCAGTGTTGGAAAGAAGCCACGTGACAAGCCTCACTGGGTCAGTCTACTAAGGAATACCAGAGTGGTCGAAAGCTCTAGATGAGAGAACTGTGTTGGATCAAAATAAAGTTTTAACTCTAAACCTACCCTTACCTACATCCTCTATTTGCAGAGAGGATGTAGGACTTGGGAGCTAAAATAGGTTTGGTAAGCAGGCTAATCTCTCGATGCCTCTCAAAAGGGTCTCACACCGGAGTAGGTCTCACACCAGAGTAGGTCTCATACCTGCTGGTTGACAACTTCCAGTCGAGCCTCCTTCAGGTGGACCTTGAGCCAATCGGCCGCGCGGGACGACGGGTCGACCAAGAAAGGTCGCAGGTGACTCTACAAAAGGCCAACAAAACTCAAGTCAGAAATGTTACCCACACACATTATGAATTACCTTCACCCATAGTGATCCCCGTGGTTACCGGCAGAAAGGCAAGAAGCAGCAGTGCAAAGCGTGAGCGGCAGCTGTGATACAGGCATCTGCCTGATGCCGTGGTTATGGTAGTTAATAATAATAAGAATGCCATGGTTACGATTTGTTAAATGTTAAACAGAGGTGCACAAAACGTGGTAAATAAGCAAAAATAATGGCTCGTGTTAATAAATATGCAATAAAATATGTTCATAATGCAATAATAGCATGCTGAAAGGTGGCAGTTAAAGGCAATTAAAAGCAAAAGGTTACAAAAGTTAATGAATTTCCACAGAGAAAAACATTCATTTTTGGTCAAACTGAAACTTTTTTTCTATCATGAAAGGTTCTTCTCTGTGAAAGTATGGCGGTGATGTTATGAATATTAAATAAGCGGTGCGGCACAAGTTGCACAAGCAAGCAGCAAAAGCCATTTAAAACATCCAAGATTCCACAGTGTGTTGTTATTAAAAGATATTGCACTGCATGCATGGCATTGTTTCCGGTGTTTTTTCTCCCAAGTTCCCTTATCCCGACTTGGTCTTACCCCCGCCTTCATGTTGTTGAGCTGTTGGCAATGCCATTAAATACGTTGGGCCATGCAGAGCACATACACGTACAGTCCGCGATGGTTTGATGCGATGAAGGTACCAGTGATGTCAATCAAGTCAAGGCCAGCACAGTTAGTGGCCAAGACATGTCGTAAACACAGAAATAACAATGTTGGATTAATAAGCAGTCTTTAGTGTCATTGGTTTTATCTTCTGTCCATGCATGGGAGGCCATGTTAAATTATGGCACGACATGTCGTAAACACAGAAATAACAATGTTGGATTAATAAGCAGTTATTTATTAATGTCTTTAGTGTCATTGGTTTTAACCCTTTATCCATGCAGTCATGGGAGGCAATTACTAAGATGTGGTTTAAAATGCTGGCAGAAATGTCAAATACAGATAGTGGCCAAGACATGTCGTAAACACAGAAATAACAATGTTGGATTAATAAGCAGTTAATGTCTTTAGTGTCATTGGTTTTAACCCTTTATCCATGCAGTCATGGGAGGCAATTACTAAGATGTGGTTTAAATTGCTGGCAGAAATGTCAAATACAGATAGTGGCCAAAATATGTCGTAAACACAGAAATAACAATGTTGGATTAATAAGCAGTTATTTATTAATGTCTTTAGTGTCATTGGTTTTTAACCCTTTGTCCATGCAATCATGGGAGGCCACGTTAAATTTACTATGAAGTTAAGTTGCTGGCTGTCACATAAAGTTTGTCAGTCGATGAATGAACCTGCACATTTTGTCAGTATATGTCATGATCAGCTGCAAAATGAAAGGAAAATGCTGGACGAGTAACAATGAATGATTATGTCGTCACAGTGCAGACCAAAATCATAATGGACACTGGAATAACAACAGTATACAACAATGCTGCAAAAACAAGTCTGTCAGAAAGTTTTGGAGATTTGGAGCAACCCCTTTTGCGTAGTTCAGACTGGATTATTGGTACATTGTAACTCATACTCCTCCATAGGGACCAACATATACATGTACATCTGTACAGATCTAGATGTACGTGATAGAATACAAACTCAGTGTAAATCACAGTGTAATGAAATGTTTCTTGTTTAGAAAAAACTTTTTGCTACATGAAACATCTTGCATCTTGGAAAACGGTCGAACATGAGCTACCACAAGACCACATACATGAGCTACCACAAGACCACATACATGTACATGTATGTTACCTGATAAAAAATCAAATTTTCCTCAGCTTTGTATGAACACAATTTTTTGAAATGATTCTGAACTCCCTGACTTTTAGAAAACACACATAAAATAGTAACATGAACAGGATTCCTGACCTGTAGGATGACCAGTGCATTCTCCATGGAGAGGTCATCGGAGGGCAGCCCCTCGCCCTTCCAGCCGAGCTGTTCGCGCTCGCTGCTGAGGAAGCGCCGCACGTCGAAGCCGGTGAGGTTGGTGGCGTCCATCCAGGCGGCCAGGGTCTGGCGACGCTCGTCCTCCGAGGTGCTGGCCAGGTACGTGATGAAGCCTGCGGCCAGCTGGGCGCGCTTTGGGAGGGTGTCCAGCTCTGACTGCAGCTCTCCAACCTGAACAAGTGACAATGTATCAAATAGTCAAAATCAAAAACTTGCCAGCATCATCATCACAAACACTTATTTACATGCAGCTTCAAGCAAACCTCGGAGTTAGATATGCAGGCTTACAAACATGTAGGTGTAACAGTTTCTTTAACAGAAGTGTACAACCAGCCAAACAAATTACTACAGTCTGCGTGCTAAGCTAGGGGGCAGTGATATCAGCTCCTTTTTAACTACATGTACATGTATTTGTTTTAATTAAAGGATTGACACAGAAACATGTAAGTCAAAGTTTGACAGTTTGACAGGTTTGCTGTGCCTGTGCAGAATGAAAAGGGTCACACCTGTGCGTTTACATAGCAGAAAAACACCATACCTGTGAGCTCCACCTCTTGTACTCATTGTCCAGTTTGCCCACAAGATTCTCGGCTGCAGCAATGGTTTCGTTGGCCTTGTCCACTTCAATCTTCAACTTTGCTGCTTCTGTTGTCCTCTTCTCAAATCTGTAATGAGTACAGCAAGATATTTATGTATGATCATATGATATTGTCTTCTGTACCCATACTACTACCATAGTTAGCATTTGAAACATATGAAAATGACAGTTACTGTAGTAATTTTTTTGAGTAAAAATTTCGGAACTTACTTGTCTCTGAGCTCAGCTACTTTCTGGTCAACAGCGTCCAGCGCTTTCTGTAGCTTCTCCATACGGTGTTCAGCCTTCTGCAGGTTCCTGTACAAAAGAAGTGACACTGTAGATTCCTGCAATTGCTACAAATGCAAGACATTCTCGCTGTAAAGTCTTGTGTGAATAAGATCACGTCTGTAACCGAGATTACAATCGAAAGTGATTGGTCATTAATTATCCTGATGAAGGTGACAGTGGTCATTGAAAATTTGATCTCTGTGTATCCCTTGTGTTGGAACAAAGTTCAACATTTTACTATAATTACTACAGACATAATATTATGTAACTGTTCAACAGTAAGATATAAAATGACAGAAGTGGGTACTTTTTGAGGCCAGCTTGCTCGGTTTCCAGAGGTTCGATCTTCTCCAGGACGCGTGAGAACTCCACGTTGGCCCTCACCCATGACGCTAGTGGAGCAGCGGCAGTACTGGCACGCTTGGCATTCTGGGTACAACAAATGTAAAGAAAACAAAACAACCTCATCAGTTTAAAAGCAACCATCAAATCAGGACCAAATCAGGAAGGGACAAGGGGGAAAGGGGGCTACAAGAAATATTTTGAAGATCAAAAACTAAATATTGACAATATTCAAATAAGATTGCCTAATGAAGGCGACAGTGGTCGTTGAAAATTTGATCTCTGCATAACCCTTGTGTTGAAATAAAGTTCAACATTTTACTATGATTACTGCCAACACAGATGAATTAATTCCAATCTTTATTTTGTGAAGAGCTAAATATTTCTAATAATTCAAAACTTTTAACTTAAAGATAACTGAAACTATTTCACCAACTAGATAAAGAAAAGAGGAATTTTAACAAGATTTTTTGTCACCTTTGGGTCAAACGATGCCTTGTTCTTGTGCAACAGTTCGTCCACACTCTCTCGTATCTCCGGAGTGATCCTTCGGGCATCGAAGGACATGATCTCCTCTTTTACCCCACGTTTGGCAAGGAAACTAGAATGGAATATACACAACTTTATTCATTTGTGACACCAAAAAGCAAACATTACAGCAGGGTTAAAACTCCAAAATTGCAGGACATTTGCCTACACAAATTACAATGGACAAGACAGGCAATACATACATCCCTCATATACATTACAACACATTATTTTTATACCAAGCAAACCTTCTGACTTTTGCACAGATGAGGTTTAGGAAACATAAACCATGACTTATGACAGTTCTTTGAAACTAGTGAAACACTACTTGACTGTACACAAAATGCAAGGGCTAAATCTTTCAGGATCTATTTTTTTGTAATTTTAGAAATGACATGATATTCGACAATCCAACAGGTGGTTGTTCCATGAACTCTGTTCACAGATGACCTCTGACCTTTTCATGCTGACCCATGAGGTGTCGAAGATGCCCATGAGTCGCAGCACGCTCTCCAGAATGTCGCGAATGATGTCGGGCGGCGCACGCAGGGACCGAATCTCAGACAGTGAATCTGACTTGATGTTTCCTGTAAAGAACACACAGCAAAAACTTGTCAAATCTTTCATGAATTGGCAGAAATAAATAATGACAAAGACAATGAAAATGAACTTTACTGCATATTCACGCCCCACATGGGCCAAATGCAGTAAGTTAGATAACAAAGGTACAAGGGTAGAAGGAACAAGTGTTACATTGCTGCTCTACGTCTCTATCTATAGGATTTCTTCTCTGTAATAAAAAAATGAAATTTAGCAACAACAGCCATTTCAGATTCAATGAGTTTCTTGAGAGTTGTGGTTGGACATCTAGTATTGTGGTCAACCAACTGTTAAATACTAGACTAAGTATGAAATATGTCATTCTTTGGAGAAAACTAATTAGAAGGAATTTCAAAGCCCTTGCTCACCGACGGCCTGCTTGGCCTCCTGCACCAGAGGTTCCACCTCGGCCAGCTCGATGTCGATGGCTTTCTTCCTCTTCTCCAGCTTACTGTTCTCCTCAGCCGTCTTCTGTTTCAACACCTCCATCTCACTCTTCTGTTCACTCGCATTCTGGGCAGGGAAACAGGAAAATCATAAAATGTATAAATGCATACAAAAACTAGACCAAGCAGGGCTCGAAATACTGGGTGCATGTGTACCTTAGTGCACCCAAATTTGGAGCTGTGCACCCAATTTTTTTCTGTTGGTGCACCTGAGTGCACCCAAATATTTACATAGGTTTACGTATGTAAAGATGTTAAATGTAATATACAGCATAATATAATATATATTCTTAACAAGTGTTAGAAAAACAATAAATTGTGTTAGTACTTTCTGTAGAAATGAAACATAATAAGTTTCTTCTGACATTCTACTTATTTTATATGGTACACCAAAAACATTTTTTTGTGCACCCAATTTTTTAGGTGCACAAAAAATATGCACCTAAAAAGTGCACCTACATGTATTCGCAAAAATGAATTTCATGTCCTGCTGAGAAACCAGCTGGTGCATAGAAACATGCACAAAGAAGCCTGGCCATGGGCACAAGAACAACTGTGGGAAAGTTGGTTCCTGACCAATTTATGAAAATGGAATGCAGAAGACAATACTCCACTATCCCACCTGCATGCTGGCAGTGATCTCCCTGAGAGCTGCATCAGCCTCCTCCTGTTTCTGTGCCAGGAGCGCGCTCTGTTCTGCTGCCTTACCCTTTAGCTTATCCACAAGGGCCTTGGCCTCGTTCAGCTTGGCCACACCAGCCTGGAAACACATCACATTACATGTGTGAAGTCAGTTAAAGATACCTGTATAGCTATTTGGGTGGAAAGAAAGTGAAAAGTGAAAGTGATCTCGAACCAGTTTAGTTCATGGAAGAGCTATTCTTCGTGACAAAGAAGACAGACGCTATGTACAGTATGTACAGGTTCATTGTACCGGGGAAATTTCCCTAGCTCTTTTTGGCAAGCACAATGAACAGTGGACCTTGGCTTATTGTCTTGTCCTAAGGACTGAGACCCTTAACAGCAGCGTGCATGTCGGGTGAGCGACAACAGCCGGGATTCGAACTCCCAACCTCTTAATCCAGAGGCAGGATCGCTAACGACTGGACTATGTATGTTACGAACAATCATATAGAATTTAACATACTTGGCTTATTTGTAACATTCATGATTTTTTTTATCTGACACACACAAACCTGTAGATGTGACTGTTTCTGCAGCACTCCTTCCTTCTTGTGGTTATACACCGACTCGTAGGTGTGCAGGAAGGTCATGTACCTCCGCGGGGTCGCGCCGTGAGCCAGGCGGGACTCGTGGATGTTCACGAAATTCTTGACAAGCTCGTCACCCCCCGCAAACTTCTTAGGTTCCTGCCCAGTGGCAGGGGGGAGGAGACTGCCGCCCATCTCTGAGCGGCGAGACAGCAGCATTTTGGGAACCTGTGGTAAGTGGGACAAGAAGTTTGAGTTTGAGTGTATTAGGATCCACATTTAGCAGGTACAAGACAGTTACTATTCTTCCTGTGGTCCATTCTAACACACAACACAACACACAGGAAAAATATACAAAACATAAATACAGTCATTGAAAACAATTAGGCCACACCAATTTAATTTCTTGGTTAACGGATTCGCCGCTTCATTTTTTTCTGATTTGCAAATAAAAATAAAAATTCAGAATCAACTGTAAAATGCTCATCTTTTGCCCTGAACAGTTGGAAGCAGTCCTTTACATCCTAGTTGTTACAGTTATTCCATCTTTCAATGTAATGGTATCATTAAAAGTTCAAAATTTATTGTTTAAATTTTGAACCAGCCTGGTGTGTCGACTTTATGGCTCCTATCGTACCATTTTGGGCCATAATAGGATGCCTAGGCCTGTTTTTATTTTTTTTTTTTCGCCCGCCCGCTCCATTACTTTTCTAGAAAAATCCGTTAACCAAGAAATTAAATTGGTGTGGCCTTATAGCGAAATAATGTGACACAAAACTTAACATAAGGCCATATACATCAACTTAATAGTAACACTTGTACATTACTTTCTGTATCTGTAGCCAGTATAACTAACATATAGTTCTGTGAACATGTCCATTTTTCTCAGACATTTTGCTACTACAAATACAAGTGATCTACAGTAGGGGAAACTGTCTGTGTGAATAATGAAGTTGCCTGTCTGACCTGCAGCATGCTGTCCTTACTCCATCCCTCCATCCACTGCACCAGGCACTGCTTGTACAGGGAGGGGTTACTCTCACACATCACGGTGAAGTTGGAGTTGCTGCAGTCCATGATCAGCACGACATGAAGGTTCATCTGGATCCCTGCATTCAGCGACAAGAAACCAAACAGTTTTTGGGACTTTCTTGTTTTATTCATTATTGTGGATTTCATTATTGTGAATGATTATTGACATCTTGTATCATAATGTATTTTCCCACTGGCTCACATAATAAGGCAACAGACATGCGTAAAGTACCCAGAAATTGAAAACAGGAAATGAGATGATGAGATAACTTTTCTGTGACTTTCAACCAAACTTCCTGTCAATGTCCAACATGCCTAGCATGTGGAAATAACTATACAAACACAAGCAAGCAAACACATATGTAGACAAACACACTCAAAACAAAACTTCTATAGATAGAAAGCTGCTGTAATAGAGAAACACAGTAGTAACACATAGAAACTCAACTCTACCCTTACCACAAAAATTCAATAAGAACAAGTTTGAACCAACTCACGAGCTGCAAAGTAGTTGTAGAGGGATCCCCTGAAGTTCTCCTGGGATGCCTGTTCCTTGAGGGGGGCCAGGAGAGGGTCCAGCTCCTCTGGTGTGTACAGGCCGGGGATGTCTCCTGCTGCCAGCAGACTGGGCACAGGTGCATGGGACACACAAACAAGTGAATGAATGCACAAACTAGCATGCCCTATCATGAGATATCAAAAATGGAAGTTCTGCTGCAGTACCAACAAAAGCTGCCAGAGTGCCCAAAATCTTATCATTTGTAGGTCTCATCAAGACCTACCCACCTACCAAGTTTCATGACAATGCATATAAAGCTTCTTGAGTTATGCTGGACAATGAAAGGAACGAATAAACAAATAAAGATTTCTTTCAAGTTGCCAGGCAGCAGAGGCCGCGGCAGGCCGAGAAAAACCTGGGTGGAGTGTCTCCAGAGGGATATTAAGGAGTGTGGTCTGTCTAGCACAGACCCACAGGACAGAGCCAGCTGGAGGTGAGGTGTCCAGAACAGCCGTCTGCTGCCCACCCCTGGGACAGGGAAACCGGCAGCAGAATAATCTAAACCAGGATAGTGAGTGAGTGTGAGTGTATAATATATTTTGTAAAATGACATAGGGACAGTGAACACATACTCATACACTCTCTTGATACATGGAAAACTGATGTTCACAAAGTCACCAAAATAAAGCCGATGCTTCAGTCATACCTGTTGACAAGCTCCAGGAACTGTGGATGGACCAGCTGTTGATCCTCCAGTAAGAACACGACTTGTTGTCCCTCCACGCCTGCCTGCTGGAGGATCTGTAACAGTGGAAACATGTGAGGATAACTATAGAGTGTTCTTGTGTAGATGGTGTGTTCAGCACCATGGACAGGCTTGTGTAGAGATTGTGTTGTGCACCAGTGTCCTGTACGCTTGTTTAGATGGTGAATTCAGCACCATGGACAGATTAGGAAAGCCAAACTACTGGCTAGCTAGCCCTTTCTGCTACAATTAACTCAATTCTGATTCTACTACTACTGTACTGAAGCTGTACACTTCAAATAATGTAAACTGAATCTTTGTTATACATACATGTATATTGTCTTCACATACATTATTGTCTTAAAGTGTGCCATATTGACGATGAATGTCTATAAGTGTGCCATTGCCATGTCTTGTAATAAACGTTGGAATAGAAAAAGGGGGAAACTTACCGTCTTCAGGTCATTCTTGAACTGCTTGAGTCCGTAGCCCCGGGATATCTTGGGCGTGAAGAGCTCACACTGGTGCATGTGTGCGACGACGGAGGCCGCCGTACGCCGGCCCACGCCGCTGCGCCCGGCCATCAGCAGCGAGCCGCCGGGCAGCGCCAGGGCGTGGTCCACACGCGACATGTAGTCCAACACCTCCTGGAACACCAGGATGTCCAGCTCACGGTGCTCACGGACTGACAAAGACAAGACGTGTGAGCAATCCTGATATCATGTAGGAGTAGTAAGACATTTAATCATGAGACTAAGATCAATGTTTTTATTTTTTAATTGTATCATTTTTCAATTTCAATAATTAGTTTGGCTTACAACAGCCAGGGCTTCCCAACTAGTCGTAGACTATGGGTCAACCCATATTTTGTATTATGCTCAAGGATTCACTCAGTAACCTATCGTTACTGTTGTTCATATACATCATTATCATAAGTTTTGATGACTTTGAAGCTTTAGTACAATCTACCAATAATTGTCATCAAACATACCAAATAGTTTTAAATAACCATGATAGTAGGAGCATACGATACACTGCCTATATCTTGTATCCTAAAAGAAATGATCAAGGATATAATGGAAGATGTAGAATTGTACAAGATCCTTACTGTAGCTGATGAGTCCCTTGCTGATGACGTTCCTGAAATCGTCCGTGCCGAGCCAGCCCACCTGTTTCCCTGCGGGGGGGATGGGGGCACCAGGGGGGGTGGCCAGCTCTGCTCTCGCCCCCCACGTCACATAGTAGCCACCTGGGGAGATGAGCAGACAAACATTCAGTATAAAGACTTTTTCTTTTGCTTGGAATGGACCCTTTTTTTCATCTCTGGACACAACTGATACAGACATAAAAATCAGGGACCTAGCCAGACTTGGGGAGACAGTGCTCGCAATCTGGGTGACAAATTTTGGATTTTCAAGCTTCTAAAAATGCCATTTCCCACATTTTGAGAGGCAAATCATGGGGTTGAGAGTGGTTGTTGGTGGTCCTTTGTTTGTATTATATTTATCCCAAGATTTTTGTCCATTTTAATCCATCAAGGTTTTTAAATTTTTTCCTTCACTTGAGGAAAGTTCTTGCAATTGACGGAAAAATGGTTGCTGGCTAGAGCCTTGATATGAATACAGTTGCATAGAGAGACACGAGAAACATTGATTTCTCTGTAAACCATATTGTACGGTACTATCATATTACTTGGACTAGCTCACCTTGTAGCTTGTCCATGACGTCGGAGCTCCAGTCGTTACGGAGCACAGATGACAGCATCCCGTCAAACCTGTCTCTGGCCTGCTGTCCCACCAGCTTGTCCCTGAACAGCCGACAGGCTTCAAACGCCCAGGTCTGCAAAGAAACAAAAGCAACAAGGTTTTACATGTCAACAGATAGGTCTCAAAATAAGCATATTAAGCATATTTTACATGGGTAAGATCTTGCTTTTTGATGTTTATTCTACAAACAGGTTTTTGAGACAGTTTCTGTCTGACCAGCATTTATCTAACTTGTAAAGTTGGTAACAACAAACACACACACACACACACCACACACACATACACACCACACATGTGCACACACACATACACACACACACACGCACGTGTCCACACGCATGCGCACACACATGCATGCATACAAACACACACATATAGCGCGGGCACACACACACACACACACACACGTACACACAGGCGTGCACACAAACACACACAAAATGATGAACATGCCAGGACTGATACTGACCTGCAGCACGTTGTCTGCGTTGGTTGCAGAAGCGCCCCCTGCCAGATCGTGCCGGAGCAGACTCAGCACCCACTGGGTCAGGTCACGGGGGGTGAACAGGTAGTGGCTGAAGTCGTCCACAGAGAACTTGGAGCGAACCTGCACAGGAAAGGTTTCATGTTTAACTTAACATTTCAGGGTGCAAAAAGCATTCATTGGCAGGATGTCATCTAGACTGATTCTTCTGTTTAATGAGGAAATGTTAAGTTCGTCATGAATACTACAAGATGAAAAAACATAACGGCACCTGTACTGTACCTGTACACATGACAACATGAAACACTCCCAAATATCACCACAGTAGTGAAAAGAGTAGCAGGTCATGTGTGGTGGAGAACCAGCTGGATGACTCTTACTTTGGACTCCAGATGCAAAAAGGAGAATCGGTCGTCCAACTGCAACTCTCAAAAAACTCATAGAATCTGAAACTGGTCTACAAGGACCTGAACTTCTGTCTGCAATGACTGACAAACAGTACTGGAGACAGAACTTCACTAGCTGCACCTCGTGACGAGGATGACAGAAGAAGAAGATACCCACCTGTTCATACAGCTGCACCATGGAGGCAGCCAGCTGGGTGACCCTGGCAGGTGACCCCCACACGGGGTGGGCTGGCAGGTGTTTCTGGAAGATGGGCTGCAGGTAGGCACTGTAGATGGCCTGCAACTGGTCCTTGTCTGCATACCTGGCAAACAAAATATAGCAGAAGTAGTCACACGTGGCATAATGGTAGGGAATTCGGCACGGAACCCATGGGTCCTGGGTTCAATTCCACCCACATAGCCTGAAGATTGTGCCCTTAGGCACTTCACACAACTTTCTTCACTTGACTCAGGTGACAATGAGTACCTAGCTTCGGTTAGGGACATCCCTTGCTTGGATAGGACGTAAAATGGAGGTCCCATGTTTGGGGAGAGTGACACCCCATGCATTCCATCACACTTGTCGAAAAGAATATGGGACTTTCCCAGTGTGAGTTGTTCAAACCTTACAGTCTTGTACAGTCTTACACAGTTTGCACTTACAAGTACAAAACTGGTGTGTTACACCTTAAGACGGTTTACCAGTTGTGTAAAACAAACAAACAAACACAACATAGATGGAAAAGTCCTATCAGAGTCTAGAAATGTGAACACCGCTGTTGAACTTTTTGAATGCATGTAAGGTATAGCAAGAATAGTATTCTATGCTGCCTGCTATGTATATAATTTATATATTGTTCTGAATCAATAAGAATTTTTAAAAACAAACCTACCCGATGGAGCAGATGCGCACGACGGATGTGAACCTGGTGGTGAGCTGGTGCCGGCCGAGAGTGTTCCCCGCCGTCATGGAGGCCACCAGCTGCACCCCCTCCAGACCCACCCACTCCAGGTTGTGGTCATAGAATCCCTGGTACGTCACCATCTGGACACCGGTCAGAAAGATCACAAAGGTTAACACACAAACAGCAACAATTGTTAAGACAATAATTGATTAAACTGTCCTGAAATGTTTCATACAGTAGTTCTGAGCCTATAGCAAGTAAGACCTACAGCAAGTGTTAACGGCTGGAGATCTAAAAAACATATAATAGACAGTTTAATGATAACAATAGGCCCTTTGAAAAGAGCATCAGATGGAAATTGGACTTCACTTGTAATTTAGATGCTTTTCAGACAAGTAAAGAAACAGTATGACAGGCAAGAGAGATATTTGAGCCTGCAGATGAAGGCCTGGTGAACACGTCTTGTATTAGCCAGACAGTGATTTACATCATCACCAGGACTCCAGGAAGAGTAGTATGAACTGGCACACTAATAGAGATCCTAACCAACCAAACCAAACCAAACAAAATGTAGACCTGTAGCTCTAGGTGAGAGAACTTTATTGTGTTGGAACTAAAGCTTTAACATTAAACACGTAACTACCAACACAGTGAACTTTCATGATAAAATGTAATAACATATAAAATGCCAACCTGTTGCAGGAAGGCGATGAGCTGACTTGTTCCCCACTTGTCGGGTTTGGGCAGGTTGATGTCCTTGAGGTACAGGATGAGGCGTTCGCAGTCCTTGGGGCGGTACACGCGGCCGGTGTTGGTGCTGATGACCATGCACATCTGGCTCAGCTTCTGCAGCACGTGTGCCGGCGATGTCTGGGCGCTGCAGTGCAGGATGGCCACCGACGCAGATCGCAGCTGGTCAAAACAGTGCTTCAGAAGCATACTGGAAAACAATGAAGACACGTCAATGAAAGTTAGACATCCTGGTAACAAGATATGCCTAAAAACAGTTACTCAAGCAACTGGATATGATTTTGGAAACGGTCAGACGTTTGAGGTAGCATCTATTACCTTTTGTCAGTGACACTGGATTTCTTTTCCAACATAACATTTGAAAACTACAGACAGGATGTTAACCTTATATACCCGAATACAACCTTATATGAGACGTTCTGCCAAATGCTATGCACAATACATTACAGGTTTCACGCAAGTGCAGTGCGTTCTGCCGACTTGCTATTCTTTCCAAGGTTCAGAGGCGGTACCTCTTGCCACAGCCCTCAGGTCCCACCAGCAGGAAGGGCTGTTTGTTTTCTGGGTGGAGCCAGGGCATGATGTAGTCCAGGTCACACTGCACGTCTGTCGTACGCACAACAGGCAGGGAACCGTTGGGCAGTAATGACTCTGCCGTCAGGGCTTCACTCAACTGGGGGATGGTACAGACACGTTCATAAAGCAACATGCAAGAACACAGCACTGTTGACAAACAATTAACAGAAGGAATCAAATCTTTAATGTGCCGTGGCATACAGTAATATCACTTGACTGTTTCTTATTTTCTATCTCTCTCTTACAGTTCTAAAGATAAAAAAAGACTTAAAAGAATATTGAATAATTAGCCTTCTAATAAATATGTAACATTAGTTTGGAAAAGTCCTTCCCTGACTACAAAGCAAATTCTTAAGTAATTGTAACGGCCAACAAATAAGAATATGCCTGGATTTTTCTCTACTGATCCTAGGTTAGTAAGCTAAGGTTCTGACATACATCCATTTGGTAGCAGCACAGTCGGTCGGTTCTCTCATCGTACTGAGCATCCAGGGGTCGCCTAGGGTCAGGGGGCTGCTCGTGGGCCCAAACAAACATCTGCAAAACACATGAGGGAGGGGCTTTGCATCAGATAGGCATAATCACATTTGTGCACCTTGCAACAAACAATAGAAGGGAAATTGTTATCTAGCTTTAGACAAGCTAGGAATTCAGCACCAAGGACAGAACTAGAAATCTTTAGGCATCGATATGAATACATTCAGGACCATGGACAGGGACTTTCCTATCATCTAGAATACATTATGGAGAAAGATAAAGGAAAATGGTATCTATAAAGTACATATATTCTGTGAAAAACAACATTTTCAGTGGTCTGCAGGCAAACCACCTAAAAGCAATATAAAATTGAACCACACTACAGCAAAAGCACAGAAATGAATGAACATGGTAGTGCAGTTTTGGTACTTCACTAGCATTCACAATACACCTGACATGAACACACAGAACTGACCTCCTTTGCGAAAGCCTGTCGCACAGGTAGAGGCAGGTTGCTGCCCAGGCCTCGGATGAGACTGACCACAAACTGAGCCTTGCTCCTGACCCCGTGCAGATGGGACAGGCCGTTACTGACCACTCCCACCAGACTGGTCTCAACAACAAACTCATTCTGGAGGGGAAAAGTAAAAAAAAAATGATATTAAGCCAAAAAGTACATTTGTAAATCGTGTGTGTCAGTTTAAACTGTTACTGTGCCACTATAAGTCTTGAAATGTTTATGGTGGTTTTAAGTTGAAATTTGCTGACAGTGACCACTCCACTGCAAATGCCTGACACTGCAGATAGGTCTTCCAATGGACTATTGTAGAACTAACTGAATGTCTGTACAGTGTAATACAGCATTGTTTCAACCCTAAAATTAAAACGTCTTTGTGGGCTTGCAATACAATACAGATTCCCAATCCTTACTCTGTGCTCTGTAATTCTTTCATGGTTCTTATAATGAAAGAGTTTTTGTGCTGGTCAGTCATATACTTAGTGGAAATTTATATTTCTTTCTGTCTACTACATCATCTCCATACCTGTTTCATGACCCACTCCAGCCCCCTGTAGAAGTAGTCGTCCACCCAGCCCTGCAGCTGGGAGCCTTCTGCCTCCCCATGCTTCCTCAGCCAGGACGCCACCAGCGACTTCACATCCATGTCCTCATCACTACAGGAAACACAATGTTTAAGATGCACTTAAAAAAGGGCACAGTTGTGTTTTTTCACTTCAAGGCTTTGCAGAAGGAAAACATTATATGACAGTGCTTCCTCAGCCAGGAGGCCACCAGCGACTTCACATCCATATCCTCATCACTACAGGAAAAAAACAGAATGTTCAAAATACACTTTAAAAGGGCCTACTACAGTAACTGTTGTGTTTTTTCACTTTGCAGCTTTGTAGAAGGAAAATATGACTGTTTTTGCTCTGTCTCTTCTTTTTCTTGTTCCAAAAACACATCACACGTCTGTCACCATGGTAACCGATGCTGTATCAGACACCATGTGGTGTTGTGCTACATCATGCTGCAAGTGGCCCCACAGAGTTGGAGGGGCTGGTCACCATTTACATTTGTATATGAATTTGATGTGCTTAATTGAGAATAAACAGAGCAGTAGTGTAGTTTGTTAGGCTAGACCATATGAAGGTACATGTATACATTATGCACTTGCTTTGCAAATGTTACCTTTCTAGTTTTGAATATTTTCCAAACTTTCTAGTACAACAGTCACCCTACCTGAGGAAGATCATCCCCATTCGTGAGATGGTGGCGGGAGACGCACAGCTCAAGTCATGTGACTCAAACACGAAGTTGACGTTCGGCCCAAACTGTATACGCTCTCCCGACGGCATGGTCAGTAGACGGTTGTCATCCAGCACGGAATTTAGCGACTCGATCCACTCTGGGTCAATGTCGCCGTCGCACACTATCCATGACTGGATTTCTGTCAGATAACAGCAAAGCAGTTTTAGTAATACAATTGGTAAGAAATTTGTAAAAATGTACTAAATGTTTTGCTACCTGTCAATAAGTCACTGATTGAAGAATATTCTACTACAGGTTTGACTGTATCTGTTGATCTATACGTGACTGATAAACCTCTTCAACAGTAGAAAATGTGATAGTGCATAACACTTAATAATATTTATCCCATTTTTCTATTAGACATACATGTATACCTTTATCATAACTAAGAATGACTAAGTCTTGGTGATATAGTACAATGTCATGTAATTTGCTAAAGTCATGTTTACCTTGCGGTTCCTTGACCACCAGGCGGGCACTGCTGGTCAGCACACCGTCTGACCACTCCCTGGTGTCGATGTCAATGTAACCCAGCAGCTGTGAAATATAAGTAAACACCACTTGTAACATTAGGCCGAGGAAAAAAATGTTGTGTTTGCTGTTTCCAGACTGACCCTAGAAAAAAACTACCAACCCTAGCCTTTTTTTGTGGACCCATGCAAGGGACATAAATTTTTCAAGCTGATTGGCCTTTTCTAGCTCCATGATCTGACACCTTGTACATTCAGTTTTCCAATACTAACATTGAAAATATCAGTCTCCTCATGCAATTTTTCCTTTTTAAATCCTATTGTATAACATGGATCACTAGAGATAACCAAAATTAAAGTCTAAAAACAAAAGAAAGAAAAAAATAATTCGTGAATACAGCCTTAAAAACATTCTGCCAAAGTGCTATGCACAATTTTATACATTATAGGTTTTGTGCAGGCTCAGTACATTCTGTAGACATGCTAAGCCTCCCATACCTGTGTCCTGGGCATGGCCTTAGGGTTCATGGTGTACTGTTTGACAGTCTTGTTCATCTTGCTGAGTGCACTTCTCAGGAGCCGCCAGAGGGTGGACTTTCCTGACCCGCTGGGGCCGACGATCACCACACCCATCCTCTGTCTCAGCTGTTCATACAGCTCCAGACCCTTCTTCACCTGAATATTGTTATATTAACAAAGGTTTAACAATTACAACATGCACATAGGGCAATCATAGATGGCAAACTTGCGATCCTTCCATTCCATAAAAAAAAGCAGCACTAAGGATATATGTTGTAACTAAGGATGTATGGCTATTGCTGCATTGTGTATTGGGAATCGCATAGTTTTACACAAAAAAACATGCGTGCACAAACATACAGACAGACAAGCCATAGGGGAGAATAATATCCTGGAGTCCAAACTTATTAGCTTTGTAGCTTTGGTGGGGATCTTGGGGAGTTGACTTAAGTTAACAAGGCTGGACTCCAGGCTAGAGAAGTAATTAGGTAGTACAAAATGTACAACGTGTCATTGAAGTTCTGTTAGAGAGACTGCATTCAATGGCAACAATACTCCAAATTAATGAGTGTAATAGTTACTGGAGGAAGTAAAGAGGGCTTGAATGGGGGATTACACTCTACGGAAAGGATCATGTGGGCCCCAAGTAAACTCTGACCTGTGCTTCCATGATCTCCAGATGAGCCTCGGCACACGCCTCCCGGAAGGCCTTGTCCAACATCTCATACTCAATACTCTTCAACTCAACACCTGGACAAGGGCAGGGGTTAAACTTCAACTACAACATGTGTCAGAACTTTTTCAGACAACTACCAATGAACATGACTGTCCATGGTACTGAAATGAATGTTGTAGGCTGTAAGCTCAAAAGGCCTTGTCCAACATCTCTTACTCAATACTCTTCAGCTCAACACCTGGACAAGGTCAGGGGTTAAACTTCAACTACAACATGTGTCAGAACTGAATAGGAATTTGGAAGTTCTTTATTCACAATCACTTGCTTAACAAGAGATGACGTTTCGATGGTCATCTTCATCGGGGCAATTATGACTGGTTCACTGTGCACTGAAGCTAGACGTAAAATAATTGTGATATACACAGATATTGTTACAACATAGTGAGATATGCAGTTCCAAATGCAAAGTATTGTTCTTCAACTAATTCAAACTATCACCAATGAACATGACTTTCCATGGTCCTGAAACATATGTTGTAAGCTGCCTTGGCCTCTTCAGTTATCAATCTCATAACAGTTCAGTCACAATCTTGAAAGAAAGAAGTGCAAAGTGACAGGTGGTGATACAACTTACCTGGGAAGATGTCCTGTACAAGGAAGTCAAACCTCCTGCAGTCAGCAAACGTGAGTTTGGACAGAGTGTTGACTCTCAGGGCCTGGACAACCAGCTTACTCTCAGCATCTACATCAACTGTACACAAGGAGGAAGAAACGTTATGTCTTATAGATGTGTTATGTCTTATAAATGTCTTATAGATGCTGTAACAGCTACAATAGCCATTTGGTAGATGATGGTAATTCATCCAAAGAATCTTTATAATGATGCATGTGGTGTAACGGTAGCGCATTCAGCCCGGAACTCATGGGTCCTGTGATCGATTCCACCTACATGCCCCAACGTTGTGCCCTTCGGAAAGGCACTTAGCACAAATTTCCTCACTTCACTCAGGGAAAATGAGTACCTAGCTTTGGTTAGGGATGTCCCTCAGATAGGACGTTAACTGGAGGTCCTGTGCTTGAAGAGTCAAACCCCACGCACGTTAAGGAACCCATCACACTGTTACAAAAAGAGTAGGGGCATGCCCCAGTGTCTGATGGTCCAAATTCTACAACCCAATTCTACAATGTAGCAGAATCATCAGTAAGTTTGTTGGCTACCTTATCCCCCAATGACAAGACTACTGTGACTCACTTTTCTCCCCCCTCTTCCTCATGTCCTGCAGCAGGTTGCCACATCCTCGCAGCACAGTCTTCAGGGCTCGCAGGCCCCAGTCATAGTGCTGCTGCTGGGTCAGAAGCTCCCTGGGGGAAATAGGAGAAATAATTATAAACAAAGGAAAAACTTGATACAAGATTATAATCTGCGGAAAATCTGAAAAACTGCTGCCAGAACAAAACATCATTGGATTCATAGACATACTCAGGACTACAGCTTCTTCATTCAAATATGGTACCTTTGACCCAGTGTTGACGTCACACTTCAAAGAAGCCACGTGACAAGCCTCACTGGGTCAGTCTACTGGGGAAGACCAGAGTGACTGGTTGATAGCTCTAGGGGAGAAATTATACATACATTTTTGTACTTCTTTGTGCTGGATCGAAAGAATCATCTTTGTGTTAGATCTAAAGTTTTAACTTTAAACTTGCAGATAAGTTGTTCAACTGACTTGGACAGATTGAAGATGGCCACCAGTTTCCTGCCGAGGACCTTGGCGTGTTTGAACCCTTCCGAGAACAGGATGACCTCTGCGATCTGGTCGTTGTCTGGACGTGACATGGCCACGGGACGGAACAGCTGCTTCAGGTTGTCGGGCAGCTTCTGACGACCTCCGTACCCCTTCCCGGCAGGGTTCAAGGTGATGAAGATGCCAGAGTTGGGGTCAAGGTCAACCTAAAAAAAGCAAAGAAAAGGAACAGAATGTGACTCAACTCCCAAAATAACCAGTACCTACTAGAGAACTCCATTGATGCTTAAAGCCCGTCAAAACATTCAAGAACTTCTCACAAATTCGTCCCCGAACACCAACCGAACAGGTCGGCCAGATTCAGGCCATGCCAACCTATATGAATGAAAACAAATTTGAATTAAATCAGAGCCAAATTTGATCCCGGAACATGCCCTGAACACTGCTGATTTACTCTAGGATGCTGACTTATGGTTGAAAACCAGCCAACTTTGATTGAACCTCCCAACCACCTCAGAAATATTTTAAACATTTTGAAACATTCAGCTAGCACAGCCAAACCATAGCCAAATTTGCCAAACGCCAGCCATGCAACCCACTAGCGTTCGTGAGGCCAAATTTGGCTATGTGTGACAGGGCTTTACCCACCTGTCTCCCCAGCAGCTCTGCGGTGGGTGTGCGGCTCTTAAGCGCTGCCTGGATATCCTGGATCTGCATGGACACGGCAGACAGCACTGCCTCCTCCAGACGGTTAAACTCATCAAAACAGCCCCAGGCTCCACACTTCACCAGCCCGATGAAGATACGCCCCATGGACTTCACATCTATACCCTGAGGGGGCACAGGAAAAGGAGGATCTTATAAAATCCTTTCTTTAGTGTATTCCAAATTACAATTATCCTGTCATATGCTACTGACTACCAACCACAGTGGACCAATTGCTCACATCACACTTCCAGCTTCACTCCACTCAGGTGGAAATAAGTACCTAGCATTGGTTAGGGACGACCTCCAGACATTAAATGGAGGTCCCGTGTTTTGGTAGAATCACACACCAAGCACTTTAAAGAACCCACTGCACGTATCAAAAAGAGTAGGGGTCCTTCCCAGTATGAGTGGTTCAAACCTTACAGTCAGGTCTTGCGCAGCTTGTACCTACTGTACAAAACTGGTGTGTTACACCTAAAAGGGAGTTTGCGAAACAAAGAAACGATGAAACCATACCTCATCACAGTTGAAGACAAGCACCTGGCGCCCAAACAGCCCTCCCAGTGCCTTGACTGACTCTGTCTTCCCCGTGCCGGCCGGTCCGTACGGGTTGCCTCCCATCCCCATGTGCATGCCTTGTGTTAGAGTCAGGTAACACTTGTCTGTCAGGGGAGTGTGCACAAGCTTGGCAGCATTGCCCTGGAAAACAAGGGTTAAAACTTGGATACCAGCAACAGAACATTGCTTAACCTAAGTATATAGACATGAATATAATTTCCCTATTGGAGAAATGCTTATAAGAAACTGTATATTTTTCATTATTTTCAAAACTACAAATACTCTGTTATGTACATTTTTGAAATGTGATTTACAGTCAGTATAATCATGCAACATGTATATCATCAAGTATACATAGGATACATTTTTGCCATCTATAGCTTATGGAAGATAATATTTAGCAAGCTTCTACAAAATGACATTCTGGAGAAAAGATTACCTGGTATTCGTAAGTGTAATCAAACTCAGCGTCCACCATCCTCATGATGGCCTGTTTAGTTTTACTGTTGAGGTAGAACTTGAGTTGTTTCTGCCACATCCAGTCAGCTGTAGAGGAGGTGTTAGTCTGGATCAGCTGGTCCACCACGTCCATGTTATGGACTGTGTCCAAGATCAAGGCCTTCAGTTTCAGGTCCAGCACGTGCATGTCTGTGGGAAGAAGAAAAGCCTGTCAATGCTCAGTCTTGAATAGTTGCCCAAAATATCCATGTATGGCAATTTAAGTTGATAAACAATTACACGTACATCATTCTTGTAAGTTATTGATAACTCGGTTACCGTACCTTTTTTTCAGTTTTGCAAATCAAACCAAGGAAATTAAAAAATGAAAGAATGATTTACTGACAACGTCTGACTATACAAAGGCAGTCCTTGAGGTTCAAATACATTATCAATAGATAGAGTGCCCAAAAATCGAGGTAAACACTACAGGTAAACAACAAAGGTCCCAATTCAATGAAACCAAGGAAAGCTCATTGATGAAACAGAACACACTTTTGTGACAAATAAGGCACATATATTACAGACAGTATTTTTGTGCTGGATTGAATGCTGGAGTGTGTATGTGTGTGTGTGTATGTGTGTGTGTGTATGTGTGTGTGTGTGTGTGTGTGTGTGTGTGTGTGCGCGTGCGTGCGTGTGTGTGTGTGTGTGTTTGTGTGAGAGTGTGTTTGTAAGAGAGTGTGCGTGTGTGTGTGTGTGAGTTTGTGTGTTACCTGAGTCGTTGGTGCCCCCGTCGTGCACGTTGATGCTGGTGTAGCTACATTACACTGAGCGTGTATGTGAGAGAGAGTGTGTGTGTGTGTGTGTTTGTGTGAGAGTGTGTGTGTGTGAGTTTGTGTGTTACCTGAGTCGTTGGTGCCCCCGTCATGCACGTTGACGCTGGTGTAAGCCTCCAGCTGAGACTCCAGCTCAATCTTCATCTCCTGCAGGCTGCGGCCGCGCAGGGCCTCCTCACACCGCTCGGTAAACTGGATCTGGTCAGCCAGGCACAGGATCTAACACGACAACAGCACACATGGTGAGATGTTATAAATGTACGTACACCACTGTGTAAACTGGATCTGGTCTGCCAGGCACAGGATCTAACAGGACAACATTACATATTGCGAGGTTTGCCAGACAGTTGTTATACGTACAACTCAGAATCTAATCTCCAAGCAGATCCTAGGGTGGCAAAAGACATCAAATTGACCAGGCAGTATCCAATCCCTTGCGTAGTGTATTGGGCCTTCTCTAGCCAATGGATACTGCCTGTCCAATTTGATATTGTCTTTTGCCACCCTAGGATCTGCTTGGAGATTACTCAGGATCCAGACAGGAGCTGATGGGACCTTCCTCCCTTTTTCTGACATACATTTGGAAACTACAGACAGAGTGTTAACCTTATGCATGAATACGACCTTATAGTTATATATGCCATTCTGCCGAAGTGCTATGCACAATACATTACGGGTTTTGAGCAGGTGCAGTATGTTCTGCTGACGTCATCTCTAGACCATGTACCCACCTGTGAGGGGAACTTGTTTGGGTCGACGCCCCCCTGGCTGTTGCCCCTGCCGGCCTGCAGACACTCCAGCAGCAGCTGCTGTAAGGTGGCCTTCATCTCCTCAGCAAGGCGCCCCAGCCATGTCTGCACACAACAGAGGAAATTTATGTTACAAAACGTAATTAAGCTTGTATATAATTATGACACTCCAGCAGCAGCTGCTGTAAGGTGGCCTTCATCTGCTCAGCAAGGCGGTCCAGCCACGTCTACACACAACATGGAACATTTATGTTACGAAACATTATTTGTATATATATGTAATTGTGTTTTTGTTTCCATTACTGTATTTTTACATGTGTGTGCCTAGAGATGTAAAAAAAACAGATCTGTTAGATCTGAGATATACTCTAGATACGTAAATTAACTTGAAACTTCAGAAAGAAAATTCTTTCATTTTCAATGTCAATGTTGGAAAATCGCTTTTACAATGTTCCATCACTGAGGTGTCAGATCATAGAGCTAGAAAAGGTCGATCAGCTCGAAAATTTATGTCCCTTGCAGAGGTCCACACAAAAAAGACTAGGGTCAGCAGTTTTTTTTAGGGTCAGTTGGGAAACACAACATTTTTTCCTAGGCCTAAGAACATGCCAAAAGTTGTGACTGAATGACAGGCAAAAGTCTGACCTCCACTTCCGTGGTGATCTGTACGGAGCTCTTGAGGGGCACGACCTCCCCCTCCAGGGACTTCATGGCCACGATGTGTTTGTGTCCCTCGTCAAACTGGACGCTGTGGATCCCGGCAAACAGCTTCTTCAGGTGCGACTGGATCACAGCCGGATTTGTCGCCTGCCCCAGGATCTCGAGGAGATCGTCATCACCGATGAAATAGAACCGCGGGAAGAGCGAACGTTTTTCCTGTAGAAACGAGGAAGATCAGAAATAGCAGACTTCACCCGGGGCAAAACAAATAGAGACTGCACTGGTCTGTCTGTCACTGAAACTGCACTGCTCCCTAGCTCTGCCAGAACAGACAGGAACTGCACTGCTCCATATGAAATCATCAGCTCAAAGCGTCTTCATCCGATGGGCAAAGCATTTCAATAACACACGTGCATAACAATTAAGAAGGATGACAGGACTCCAATTTTTTATATATATGAAGAATTTTTCTCCTGTCTTGCAGGATCCTGCTTAAGTACCAAAGAAATAAGGCCTAGTTTTTGTGTATCTTATAGTTGATTTTCTCTAAAGGAAAAATTCAAGCATGTGCCCAAGCCCAAAGTGTCTTAGTTTGTACAAACCTCCAGGAACTCGTTGAGAGATTTCTGGCATCGCTGGAGCTGGTCCAGCAGAGTGACCAGTGTGCTGCGGAGCCCGGACTGACCAACCAGGGACAGGACACGGTTGTCACGGGCAACATCTGACATGATGGCTCTGTAACACACAGCAAATGATAATCAAAGTGCAATTCATCTCTGATGAAGATGACAGACAGTCATTGAAACATTGGTTTGTGTTAAATAAATGGTTGTGAGTAAAAGAACTTTGCTATTCAATCACTCACCAACCTGATGAAATTACTTATCAAAGGATAATGGTAGTTAAAATACAGTTTCAAGTTCTAAGTTTGGCAGGTGACAAGTAATCAACAATATATTAAATAAATACAAGTAACTAAGGATTGTATGAAGTCAATCTATGTACTAGGTGCAATTTGGACATGGCTCTATAACACACAAGTCATCAAAGTCATCAAAAAACACAGTTACAAGTTCCAAGTTAGGTAGGTGGCAACAAATCAGTGTAAGTCTATTCCCTACTGTAGTCTTTACATTGGCAAACATGCAGACAAATATGAGTAACTAAGGACTCTAGGTATAATTTGGACAAGATTTTAGCAAGAGGTGAATATGAGTAACAGATCAGAGTTATAAGATCTAAGATGAGGTTTACTGCACCTGAAGTCATCGTCCACCCTCTTGAAGCGAGCTTGTTCCCGGGGCAGTGCGCCCCTGCCGAAGATGGGCTCCAGGTAAACCCACTTCCTCTGGATCTGGTTCAGGTTGTGCAGGTACTCATCCAGGTCTGCTAGTCTGGGGAAATAGTGGAGGTTTTTACTTTTTAACATCATTACATTCTAGGTTTCTGTTTTACTTCCTACACAATTTCAAGAAAAAGAATAGTTTCTGGACCAGCGAACATAATCAGGGTTGTGTGGCATTCAGCTCAGAACCACGAGGTCCCAGGTTTGAATCCTGCGAAGTCACCAACCTTGGATCCTTGGGAAAGGAGGCACTTTTCATGACTTTTCTCAGGCAAAAATGAGTATGCCAGAACGATCATTACTATGATCGTGGGCATTAAGGAAAACCAAATTAAGAGTTTGCCATATTGTTGAGCTTGCAGTTGAAACAATACCAGTAATGTGTAATCAGCAGCAGCAGCAGCAGCTATCAATGGAATATAATCTGTATACCAACCTTGTCTCCCATATGGATGCCTTGTCTTCAAAGTGTCTGTAGTAGGGGGAGTCTTTCAAGGACTGTAGCAGGCACTGGTTGTCTCCAACCTTGGATACAAAAAAAGGGACAATTATAAGTAAAAGCTGCAACAGCATAATGGTAAAACCATTGCACAGTGATGCCAAACATGTAACGGCTCTATGTTTTGCAATGATGAGCAATGCCTTGTACAGAAAGATGCCTGATGTGAATTGTCAAGTGACTTTAGCATTTAGCATTTTTATTTTCAAAAAACAATGCTCTCACCTGGTTGACCAGGTCTTTCCAGTCCTTGATGATCATGAGTGTGCGGTTCCCACTGTCGGAGTACTCCGTCAGAGCGAACACGGCCGCCGCTCCCCACATCTCCAACTCACGCAGGGCTTCACGGATGGAAACCTCGCCCTGCGCTCGCGCGTTCAGTTCCTGGAAAAGGAACAAACATTTCAATGGTTACATTTCTAGTTCTCTCCATGGCCTTTAGCACACTGTACATTTTGGAAGTGGCAGAGGAAGATCATCACAATGGATGTGGAGGGCCAAAAACATGTGGGCGTCCAAGGAAGAGATGGATAGATGACATAAGGGAAGATTTCCTCCGCCCTAACCTGCATATTATATACACAATAACATCAACCCACAGGACAGAGGCAAATGGCGGGCTGCCATCAAGCCTCAGCACTTGTGCAAGCATGTCTAACCCTTGGATGTTGGGGAACAACAGACAATAAACCAGATAGTGAGTGACTGAGGGAGTAATTGTATTCATAGTGAAGTTTCTGTTCAAAGGGCTATCTCCTACCTTTAACTGATCGGCGTTCTTGATGATTGCGTTGCTTGCCGAGAGGATGTGTCCGAAGTTGAGCTTCTCCAGAGTGGTTCCTCTGGGCATGCCCAGGAGTCGGAACATCTCCAGCCAGTGGTCCTGGGACAGCACCTCTCCCCGGACGTACTTCAGCAACGGCAGGACAGCCTGAGGACAGCACAGGGCATGGGGGTCAGAACATGTTTTAAATGCTTAAACCCCAGTCCACAGTATAATGGTGGGATTGGTGGTGCAATGGTTAGAGCATTGGACTCGGAACCAAGAGGTCACAGGTGCAATACTCATCATGCCCCGATGTTGTGCCCTTGGGAAAGGCACTTTACACAACTTCCTTCCATGTACAGGAAGTGACGCCCACCAAGCCTATTTGGCTAATGTGTCCGAAAACAAACTACAGATTTGGTGCTCCAATGTGCCAACTTGTTAAGCCTGTCCTTGGTGCTGAACACTATACACACACACACACACAGAGGTGAACATGCCTGTCCTTGGTGCTGAAAAATATCCGCACACACACTATCCACACATACACACTCATGCACACACACGAACATGCCTTTCCTTGGTGCTGAATATGATCCACACACAGGTAAACATGCCTGTCCTTGGTGCTGAACACTATCCAGACAGGTGAACATGCCTGTCCTTGGTGCTAAACACCATTCACACACACATGAACAAGCCTGTCCTTGGTGCTGAACACACACACACACACACACACACATACAAGCCTGTTCTTGGTGCTGAACAAATATCAAACATATGCCCAGGTTTCTGATGTTCCAATATCAATAGCAATGGCACTTTAGGATCCTTCCTTACAGTCTAGCAACAGAATGGAAGAACTAGCCAGACATCATCTATCAGTGCAGTGCAAAAAATATATATATATATGTGAGTTAACACTGACCCTGTACTTGTCTATATCCTTTGTGAGTTTGACTGTGATGGTGGTGGGCTCCTCATTCCTCAGTTTCTCTGCCCACTGACCCAGGAACTCTTCAAACATATAAGCACGGCCCCTACACATGATAGAAGACAACAAAAAGAAGTCATTAAACAATTGTCAGGTATATTAGACATTGTGATGTGGATGATTCCAGTCATTTCAATATTCAAATCTTTACAAGGATCTCTTTCACAAAGAATTGTCATGTATGAATTCAAAGGAAAAATGCTGCTGTCTCTTACTGTCGTGCAAGTTCATCTGTGTTGGTAGTTACTTGTTTAAAGTTAAAGATTTTGATCCAACACAAAGAAGTTTCTCTCACCTAAAGCTTACGACCAGTCACTCTGGTCTTCCTCAGTAGACTGACCCAGTGAGGCTTGATGTCACACTTCAAAGAAGACATACGACACAGACCAGAGTGACTGGTCGAAAGCTCTAGGTGAGAGAACTTCTTTGTGTTGGACATAAAGTTTTAACTTTAAACTATGTAACAATTATATTTACACATGTTTAAAGATTTACCTGAAGGAAATCCAGTCCTCCTTGGCCAGGTCAGACATGCCGTTGTTGAACTCCTCGTAGAGTGACCACATGGCCTCGTGTACACGCAGGTCCTCCCTCAGCTCGTCTGCCTCAGGGATCTGTGGCTCCGGCAGCCCAAAGTGGACACAGTCCGACCTGTACATCCACAAACAGCAAAATGCATATGGATGTGTGTACATATATGGATTACATAATGTATTACATTGTTTGTAACTGATGAAATTAAGAAACAGACTAAAACCATTTGGCAAGATTGTGGTCTCCTACAAAGTCTCAAAATTCCTCATACAGATTAACGCCATTGTTTTGATGACTCCATTCTTCACAGATACCAAAAGTTGTTATGTAATGTTAAGATGCCTAAAATGCGTAATTTAGCATCTGTGTAGAATAGTAGATGACGCTGTCATGTGTTTTAGTGTAAAATGTAAGTCAATTGACACAATATATAATATGTAAGCAAAAAAATAGAGAAAAACAAAACCTCCATAGATGAAGGAGGTAATGATCAGCTTTTTTGTAGCAAAGTTAGCCCTCTACATTTGTACTTACACCAGCCTCTCGCGAGTCTTCTCCAGCTCGCTGAACTCTGTGCGGTGTTCCTTGATGACCTGCACAGCCTTGTTGCAGGCGTCTTTGTCATTGTCCTCCAGGATCTCATCTTTGGGCTTGAGCTGGTGCCAGCGGGCCGCGAACTTACCCAGCTCCTGTCGGAAGTGGGAAACCTGCGACTCTACGTTGGACTTCATCACCTCAACCTGAGAGAAGAATAAACAGGATGCACATGTTTGTAAAGTTTCATTCCTATCTGTCCTACTTTTCTATTAAAACACCTGATGAGGGACAGAGAGATTATCTACGAAAAACAAATATATCAAAAGATATTTAATACGTAGCACACAACAGAGCAGAAAATGATTTTAAGCATTTTACTGTTTTGTCCTATAGCACAAAAATTAGTCCACTGACTGAAATGCTTCAACTATCAAGCATGTGTTTCTATCATATTAACCAGTTCTATCACTAAGAGGTTGTCACACACCTACGTTTACTTGCCACTGACCTGTTCTTTTACAATGAGTTTGTCTTTGTTTACTTCACACAAGCTTCCCACCAAACATGTTCCTTTACCATGAGTTTGTCTCTGTGGCTCTAGCAGCCCAAAGTGGACACAATCTGACCAGAAAATGCATTGATATGTGCACCCACTGACCTGTTCCTTGACCATGAGCTGATGACTCTCCATCATGAGTTCAAACTTGTCCCATCTGGCCTGCAGAGTGCCCAGCTGGTCCACCCCTCCCCCTGACACGCTGCGCAGCAGCTTGTTCTTCTGTTCAGCCTTCGCAAACAGGGGCTGGATCTACGGGAGGAAATGTTTTTCAAAATTCTAATACACAAAAGTACTAAACAGCCAAAATAACCTTCAAGTTGCTTAGAGTTTTAGCTTGTGATGAAAAAAGGGTGACTGTAACTGGAGGTAGTAGTAGTAGTATCCAATATATTGACAGTAGTTTCTGATATTTATGTCATACTAGTATGTAAATGCAATATTTATTTCACTATATATGTTGGGCCCTCAAATTTAATTTCTTGGTTCTTGGATCTGCCTCAGATTTGAAAAATTAAAAGCAAAAAATATTTTAAAATATCATTCAGAATATGAATCAGACTTACAGTTTTTCCATCTCTCAATACATAACAAGTTGACAATCAAAACATCAAATACCTTAGTACAGTCTACACATATGTTGACTTTGTGCAGTCCACCAAATAAAGCTACTTCAATACTAACTTGAGGTTTCTTCTCAGCGAGTTCTGCATGTTTGGCGTTGGCCAGTCCGATCTCTTCCACCGACTGCGGCCGGGTGGACAGAGACTCCAGAGCGTCAGTCAGGAACGTGTCGATCTCGTTGAGATGGCTGATGATGGAGTGGCGCAGGGAGCTCAGGAGGGCGTCGAACAGGGCCTGGATGTGGTCATCAATGATGGCCTTGACGGGAGTGGTGGACACTGTGATGCAGTCCACCTTGATGGAGCTGGTGGGCAGATAGATGGACAAAGGTTTAGAATGTAATGTACAACAAGACGTAAACTTCAACTATGACTATAATCCAGTGGTTTAAATCCATATGTGAAACCACTGAGTTGAATGTAGCTGTTGCAGAACAACAGGATAGTGCGGTTTTGCTAGTTTGAAGTGTGAACAAATGCCTTGGAATATAATTATACAACCATATATTCAAGCATTTAGTCATTTTACTTTCAATGAGGAAATAAGAACCAGCTGTTTTTCCAAAGAAGGACAATCAAGTCATAACAACCATTTCTTCAGCACCAAGGTCTGTCCATATCATGCGATAAGCTTGACACTACATTTCTACAAAAAAGCATGTTATCAGAACATGTATAAAAAGTCATTATATTATGTATGAGAGAGGTTCCTTACTTGGGTAGTTTCTCAGCGTCCCTGCCTCGGGCCTTCAGGGCCTTGAAGTTCCTCTCCCAGTCAGGCACGGTGTGCAGGTGGGTCTCCACAAGCTTCTCTACATCCAACAGGCCCAGCACAACCCAGTTCTGGATAATAAAGATACAAGGTAATTTTCTTAAATTGCTTTTTCCTATCAGCTTGAGTTTTGACTCTCGACTAATTGTTATTGTATGACGATTATGATTTTGAGTTCTTATTGTTTATGTATGATCTAGCATTTATAAATTCATTTACTGATATCATCTTTCTGTATTTATTACTTGTGGGCTCCCTTGGAAATCAGCCTAGTATAGGCTGAAGGGACTACCCATAAGACGAATAATTAGATAGATAAAAGACTTGATGTAACTTGGCCTGATGGTTCATAAGAAAGATCTTGCTTTCAAAATTAGTGAAGACCAGTTACCTACAGTGACTGCAAGTTACATATTGCTGGACCTTCCCACATAAACGGTGGAACAACACAACTCCTACCAACCTGAAACTCTGCCTTGGCTGTGACAAGCCTCTGGAACAATTCCTCCGCCTTCCGGTATATGGTGGTGAAGCCGGCAGAGTTGCGCTCGATGATGGCGGGAAAGACGGTGTTGGTCGGGTCGAGCTGTTCGCTGACTCCCTTGAAGTGGTTGGGAATACAGATGAACTTCTTCAGCTCGCGGTAGTACTTGGCACGGATCTCTTCCAGTGGGGGGCGGAACTGTAGCTGTTGTTGTCTGGCATGGGTGAGGAAGGAAGATTAACTTCATTAAAAACAGGCAGATTTGCTTATTTAACTTTCATCAAGCATTAATGGCAAAGTGAACAAGACTAAACCACAGTTAGACTTCACTCAAAAAACTGTCAAAAGACTGAAAACAGTGTTGTTGAATTTGAGAAAATTAAATGTTTCAAAAGTGGACCAAATTAGAAAGAGGCTCTAAAAATATTTGTCCCATAGACCTTTTGAAATAGCCTTTGATCAAAACTGTACAAAATGATACTATTTTCATCTTATATCTATTTAGCTTTTTTTAAATCTATTGTCACAATGCGTGTGACACATTCCATGTCATCCAACATTACGAAAAGTCACCCTTGTAATGTACATCATTGTTACCTGAAGACCAGTTCCACTTTGATCTCAGACAGGTTCTCACTGAGTGCCTCCAGCCCCATCTGGTACTGGTGCTCCAGAGCCTTGTACAGCTGACGGTCCCAGTGCATCTTCCAACTCTTCATGTTAGCAGCACTGAAACCCTGGATAACCATAGAACATGTAACATGTTACCAGCACTGAAACCCTGGACAACCACAAAACATGTGACATATTAGCAGCACTGATGTCTTACAGGCTCTTGTTCTTCCCTAGCTTTGCACCATTTAAGAGTGAATGAACTTGAGCCTAGTGTGGCGTATGTGAAGGACCTCTCCCAGTTCAAAACTGAGCTGGGATGGGCTTCTGTATGACTTGTGTATCTGTATCTGTATAGCCAGTATAACCGCCTTTCGGCATAACAACACACAGGCTTCGCTGCATTGAGCTGCCCACTGTCCTTGTATATATGTAAATACTAACAGTACTAATGCACTGATTCTCACCTGCTGGACCAGTCCTGCCATGATGTGTCTGATTTCCATCAAACCTTCCTTCCACTTGGGCTGCTGCCGTAGGAGGTCTGTGTTCATCAACTCTACAACCTAAACAGGAAAATACACACAAAAATTCATCACACAAATCAGAAAATGTAAGCATAGCACTTACAAAATTCATTTAGAAGATTTTTTTACGGCTCTCGGTGGCAAATGTGCAGATGTTGTTGGTACATTGGCACACCAAATCCATAGTGTGTTTTTGGCACACAATTTGACAGATTACCCAAAGAGGCTCGATGGGCATCACTCCACCGTACAGGGAGGGAAGTCGTGTTAAGTGCCTTTCCCAAGGGCATAAGGCCATGGTGAGTATCGATCCTGGGACCTATTGGTTCCAAATCCTACGCTCTAACTGCTGCACCACCGATGCTACAAAATTCATCACTGCTGTAAATGTTTAGCTGATGCTTTTACCTTTCATAATTATTTTGACCACTGTTATGATTGACTTGCCATAGATAATGCGAGAAAGAAAGGTAAAGCTAAGTAAGTGGTTGAACATTGTATTCCCACCTTATCAGTGATGTTGGTGTGGTGTTTCCTCAGCTGGCGGTTCAGAGTCATGATTCTCTCTGCTGCTGCCTGTAGCTTCTGGACGTAGGCTTCCAGTTCCTCAGGGTTATCCCAGGTCACCTGCACCTGTAATCATAAATATTATAAAAATAAGAAGAAATGATACAGAAGTCCAGTGGTGTACTTAATTTATTGTCTTTTAAGAATTGATGATTTAGAAACATTCCTTTCACTAGGAAAATTGTAGATAAAGGGGCTTTAGCAATTTATGTTTATTTGTTGGACATATGTGCCATGAAAAAGCAGCAGATACTTTATGACTGGGTGCTATTGGGCAATCCTATTGTATTAAGAGGTCACTTAGACACAAAAACTTTATGACCATCCATGCCAATATATACTCACTCACTCACTCACTCATTAACTCACTCACTATCTGGTTTAGTGTCTGTTGTTCCCCGACTTCTGAGAGTTAGACATGCTTGCACAGCAATACAGCTGATTGAATACACAGCATATACCACAAAATATATGACTGGTATAACCATTCTTTTGCTGCCTACTTTTCCATTGCCCCCATCCCGGGCTCCACTCTTTGGGTTCTTGATGATTCGCTCGAAGTTGAGGGCAGCGTCCAGCAGCATGGCCTGCTGGCTGGGGATCATCTGCTGGTCAATGGTGTTGTAGAAGTGCGCCACCTAGTGGAGAAGGGGAGAAATGCACTGTGAGTACTGTGTACCTGACATCACTGATTTTAAGACTCTTCAAATGGTACTACAAAGTTTCTTCATGTCTCCTCTGATAAGAATATACATGTACAGTATACAGGCATTCTCATTCCCAGGCTCCAGCAAATACAAGGCTCGCAAAGGGAGACACTGCATCAATCTGCTCAGCATGCTGAAGGGAGACATGAAGAACAGAGGACTATGCTCACAACAGAGAAGAAACTCAAAGAGCTAAGAGAGCTCACAAGAGAGAAGACACAGTGGAAGGAAATGAAGAAAGACTGAACACAACTGAAGAATGTTTAAAATTTCTTACGACTACAGATGCAGAATACAGTGGATGATAATGATGTCCCAGGAAAAAAGAAATTCAACTTGAAGGCATGCCTTAAAGTAGAACTGATACCACAGAGCACAGTCACTTGGTTTAAACAATAGTACTTCCAAACCCATTTTTTTAACCAAGTTAACTGACCTGTTTAAGTATGACCCCATACTTGTAGAACTTCTGTGCGGTGGCGGCGGCGTGTTGGATCTTTGCGGGGACAGCAAACCCAAGCACGGACAGCTGGCGTACCTCGCGCAGCAGCGTGACCAGCTTCTCGCTGTACATCACGTGAAGTTTCCCGTCCTGGTGGTCCAGCTCCATCAGACGGCCACTGATCTGTAGGCTGTACAAAACAGTAAGGTGGAAATATAGAATACAACACAGGGTATTCCGTATCATCCGAGGTACCAGCCTGCCCATATGGCTGAAGGCCAGAGGGAGATCCCACCGATGTTGTATTTTATTCGTGTCATACCCACCCAAGATAACACATGAAAAATGCAAAATGAGGCAAAATTTGGTGTCCCTAAACCAAAAAATGCAACACCAATTCCACATCCGAATCCTGTATGTTGGGGCCAAGATATGAGCATTTTGGAGTTGATTAAAAGCCTGAAAATTTTGCTAAACAGAAAACAAAGCAGGCGAATCCATGAACCAACAAATTAAATTGGTGTGGCCTAAACCAAAAAAGAGAAAATATGTAAACTCTGTATCTTCAGAAAGCCAAGATACTGAGTCATACCTGAGAGGTTGGTGAGGGTCCTCCAGTGCACTCTGTGTGTCCTGCGCCCAGCCGTCAAACTGTTCCCTACAGTACGTCTGCATCTCCTCCTGAACCTCCGCAGCCTGTCGCTGGTACGGGCGGAAACCAGACAGGTCTCCTAGCAACGCCTCCGCTACACTCAACGTTTCAGCAACCTATGTGTATACATGTAGGATTCATCAGTGAAGGTTAGACATGCCTCTGTTACGCTCAACGTTTCAGCAACCTGGGATTGTCATTAAAAAAATTGTGAGTCATGGTTTTGCAACATTCAAACGCTTTCAAAATTTCATAGTTACAGGTCTTCTAGCAATGCCTCCACTATGCTCAATGTTTCAGCAACCTACATGTAGGAGTTGCTGGTGAAGGTTAGACGTCCGGGTAATAAGGTGCACTAAAAAACAGTTAATCAAGCAACTGGATATGATTTTGGATACAGTCAGACGTTTCAGGTAGCATCCATCTGTGCTGTGGCAGCAGTGTGTTGGGTTAGGGTTAAGGCATTCGGCTCGGAACCAAGAGGACCTGAGTTCAAATCCTGCCGTGCTACTGATCTTGTGCCCTTGGAAAAGGCACTTTATACCTATTTCCTAACTTTAATCAGGTGAAAATGTCTGTTGTCCACTCATGCATTTATCTGCGTTGGCGTTGAAAAAAATTGAGTGTGCCATCCTCATGTCCTGTAATAAATGTTCAAATAGAAAAAAAAAGACAACTGCTGACCTTGGCCTCTAACTGCCTGACCCACACGATGTTGTTGACCAGTTCGGGGTGGTTCTTGCCCTTAAGCGGTGCCCGTTTGCCGCCGCCTGATGACCGGTCCCTGAAGTCATCCCGCAGGCCCTTCACATACACCTGCAGCTGGCTCAACAGCATCTCTCTGCAAGTAACAAAGAACGTTGAAACATTCAACCAGTCATGGACTGATACCTAAATAGCCTCACAATTCAGCCCTCCAAGGCTGCCAGGAGGCATGTATATCTTTTTGCTGATAAGAACTATTAAACCAGTCTATTACTACTAACTATTTCTATCAATGGATCATCCCCCAGTCTTTTCCATGTACAGTACAGTTCCATATCATATCATACAAACAAAAGTTACATGTCAAACATCATACAGTGCTCACAACCAATAACATTTTTATTATCAAATAATTGGAATATGAATAATTGAAAATGACTTCTATCATACTGATTCTTTCATACATTTTATTATCAGCAATACCTTCTTATCCTTTTCCTTGTGAAGTGCTAAGACTGACTTGAATATGATTTTTATACCTTTCAGCGACTAACTCCTGGCTGATGCTTGGTCTCTTCACCAGCTCACGATAGCGCTGGAACTCTCGTAACAGCTAAAACAGACAGCATGGCAAAATAAGAAATCATGAAGTTGAACACAAAACCTAACAGTATCACATGTTTACAGTATCTGAATTACTTTGTACAAAATGCACTGCAGGAATACACTGAATTATAGATTCCTCTGACTATGCAATTTCATCAGTGAAGGTTAGATATCCAGGTAATAAGCCAAAAAAAACAGTTACTCAGGCAACTGGATATGATTTTGGAAATGGTCAGACGTTTCAGATAGCATCCATAAACCTGCTTTTCTGACAACTCTCCAATGACACTGACGAAAGGTAGTGGATTATACTAGTACCTGAAATGTCTGACTGTTTCCAAAATCATATCCAGTTGCTTGAGTAACTGTTTTTTGGTGTATTCAATTTAACCTTTTAACCAAGTATGAGAAGTACACCCCTAGCCCCTCACCTGATGAGGTTTAGCCTGTAGTTCCAGTAGCCTTGACCTGAGCTTGGAGGCGACCCTCTGTTCCACAGGTAAGATGGCATGCTCGTACTGTCCCACCGCGGCCTTCCACTGAGGCTGTGTGTAGGGGTTGTACTGCAGCGGGTTGAGGCTACTGAAGGGGCTGAAGGCGTCCTGAGCCTTCAGCTGCTGCTGTTCGTCAGTCGTCAGCAGCTGTAGTAGCTGTGCATTCACTGTCCGTAGGGTCTGGATCTGTCAATGAAACATGCAAGACCAGGTTCTTAGGTGATGCATAAGCTTAAAAACAAAGCTGAGGATCTCAGATGATTTGTTACAATACATACAATTATATACACTCATTTGTCAATTCATTCTTCTATCTATTCCTCCATCCATTCCTTCATAAACCTCAAGCCTACTTTGGAGAGAACAACTCATAGTCATAAGTTAAAGCTGCAGCTGAATGGTTAGATGATAATTGCACTTCAAAGAACCCACTGCACTTATCAAAAAGAGAAGGGGACCTTCCCGGTGTGAATGGTTCCAACCATACAGTCCAGTCTTACACAGCTTGTACTTGTACAAAACTGGTATGTTATGCCTAAATTTTAGTAAAAGGCGGTTTACTGCTTATACAAAACAAACAAACAAGACAGCTAAATCTCATTACCTCCTCCAGTCTAGCTTTGAACTGTTCCAGTGCTTCAGGAACACACTTGTCACCCTGCCATGGATGGAGCGGGGAGTGTTGTTTCCACGTGCTGGTCAGCGAATCACAGGCTGATATCCAGCGCTCGCAGATGGACAGGGACAAGCGTAAGGACTCTCTCACGCTGGCGTACGGGCCGTGCCAGAGGTCCACACCGGACAACTTCAGCTGGATGTGCCGCGCAAGAGCGCCACCTGGTAAAGAGGAATGGAATGTAAGTTATCATACCGGTAATAGTAATGAACATAGACATAGCAGAGTGAAAGATACACTACATTATAAATTATGATTAAGATAAAAACTGTTGTAGCAAGTTAGAGCATTACCCAGTACAGGTATGATGTTACATAAACATGCACATTGATCACACATTTAGAAAGAAACCGAATATATGTATTGTACAGTACATTTTATCATGTATTGTCTACATATAGCATTACCTAGTACAGGTACGATGTTACATATATATGCACATTGATCACACATTTAGAAATAGCATATTGTATTATGTACTGCATACATGGACATTGAACTTTGGTCACACATTTAGAAACAGGATATAGTACAGTATATTGTACAATATAAAACATTTAAAGAGAATATAATAGAGTATATTGTATTATGTACTGCCTGCGTACTTACCAATGATGCCCATGAGGTGAGCCATGCGAGGTTCTGGGTATGGTGGGAATTCTGTCTGTCCCCATACATCATCAAGGACTTCCTAAACAACAAACAAACAATAAACATGTTATCAGTATCACATCACTCCCTTTGAGGTAGAATGCTGCAGATGTTTTTGTCCAGAAATTGATTTACTATGAATTCATTTATATTTCCGGGTGGAATTTTGCATAAGTGGAAAGAAGGTCTTTGCAATATTTCAATTTCTCGGTCAAAACAAGCCTGTAGCACAAAAACACATTCAATCGTGTCATAATTTCAAGGTGGAAAACTGCAAAAATGAAACTGTTGGGCATAGGAAAAAAAAAGTTGTTTCCTGTTTCGGTCCCGAAAAAAATTAGGGTCGGTAGGTTGATCAGCTTGAAAAATGAATGTTCCTTGTGGGATCAACAAAAAAAAGGCTAGGGTAGGCAGAGTTAGTCGGGAAAAAGAGGAAACACAACATTTTTTTCCTAGGCCTAGTGAATATTCGAAGATTAACAATACCTCAGTTTGCTCCACGAGTTCAGCAGCCTCCAGCAGTGAGAGGGACTCCAGGTTGCCGTAGTTTGCGCTGACGGGTTGGAACAGCGACTGGAAGTGCTCCGCCCGCTCCTTTACCTCCAGCTTACGGCCCGTCACGGCGGCGTCTGCCCAGTAACGGAACTCGTCTGATGGAGTCAGGATTCCTATGGGAAACATGATAGTTAGTTAAAGTCCTCCCCACAACCATTGGCATGGTCAGTTATGGCACAGCACCCATCTCCATTCCTGTAGCCCTAGAGCCACACAGTTATGCAATCACTACAGCAGGGAGCTAGTCCACTGGTAGTGGTGTGTGTTTAACTCCCACATTCTTCTCAAATGCTGAGTGCTGAGCAGAGAAAGCAGTATGTAAGTCTTTTGGTATGACTTGGACGGGATTGAACTCATGAACTACAGAATACAAGGCGAAAACTCTAGGAAACGTGATAAATACTGTACATTGAACATATATTTTCACTGGTACTTCTTTTTGTAATTATGCTACAAATTTGCAGTTGCAAACAATTCTGCAATACAGTTATTGCGGGATCTGTATGGATCCCTCCAGACCAGACTTGCCAGGCGTACTCTAAAAGCCTATGTGTGCGGAGGAGACAACCTGCCTGATGGATCCCTGCTGATGGACTGTGAACACTTACTAGTACTTTTGAACAGTTAGCCAGACTAGCTAGAAATAGGAGACTGTGGAATGCAAGACTGAATAGGATCTGAATAGGATAAAGTTATTACATATTTCAAGGCATGTAGCATAAGACTTTGTAGGTCTGCTGATGTAAAACATACATACATAGTAATACATGGGAAACTCCCACAGTGCTGTTCCTACCTGTCATGTTGCTGTCGTCCCCCTTGCTGCCCCCTGAGCTGTCCTGTGCCCGTACAACGCTCCCCAGGCTGCTGTCCAGCTCGCTCAGCAGCTTCTGCAGCTTCGGGTCAAACATCCGGCTCCACTTCTCATCCTTCAGCAGCATCGGTGCATAAACCTGGCAAAAAAGCAGAGGTCTCATCATAAACTACAGTTATTAGGATACTTACTCTTTTTAAACTTTGTTTTCTGTTCAGTCAGTAGGCAGAGGTACTCCACATTGAGATCTACAAAATCTTGTATCTTTAACCTGGAGTGATTGAGGAGTGAAATACAAGGTGTAATAAACTGTTTACTTCCATAGCTATGGTATCATAGAAGTCGACTATAAGATTACAGGAAAAAAAATATAGAAAAGTTTATTACAAATTCATGCCCAAGGGCTAATTGCATGAACATGATAACAAAATAAACAGTAAAAATGATAATACCGGTACGTAATGCTAATGCTACTTTAGATATACACTGTAGTTATTGTAAGATTACATGTACTAGAATAGTGGTCTACTACTTAAACCTTCCACAATAAGAATCATTATGACAGTAAATGACATCTAGTGCTTACCTTGTGTAGTGAGTGGTACAGGGCCATGACGGGTGAGTCCAACATGGAGGACACAAACACGTTGGAGTGCAGGTTGTCAGGTGTGATGGGGTCAGGCTTCAGTTTCACAAACACCAGGGTCTTCTGACTCTTCTCTCCTGACTGTTCCACCTGCACAGCCAAGTAATATCAGCATGAAAGTTCATCTGAGTTGGTAAATTACATTATGAAAAACTTAAACTTTTCTCCAACTCAAAATTTGGGTCAGATAGATTTCTCCAACTCAAAATTTGGGTCAGATAGCTGAGGAAGACTGAGTGATTCAGTCGAAAATTTCTGGTGAGTCAAATTTTGAGTTGGAGAAAAGTTTAAGTTTTTCATGATAGCCAAGTAATATGTTAGTCTTTTTTTTCTAATGATCCCACTCACTTCTCAATCCTCATAATAATAATTAATATCATCATCATCATCAATATAATAATAAATAGAATTGAAAGCAGACACCAGTTACTGTAGTGCAATTCCCAACTTCTTTCTTTTAACCTGTTTGTGTCTGTTACATTTTCTTTATTTTGGGGCTAGGGAAGTTGAAATACAAGTGTAGTTTGCCCATCTCTGACAGAAAAGGGTATGCAGATCTGCAGACCTTGGTTTGGCAGTCTAGCATATTAACATTATACTAGTATTATCATGTAATAGAAGAATGGTTGACTCAAGTCCTTGGTTGACTCTACATGTAGCCTGACTAAATTGTGCTCCTGTGGGCCGCCCACCTCAAAGGTTGCCACCCACCTTGGGGTCATTAAAACTCCCGGCTGAGAGCTTGTGTAAGCACAGACTAACTGTAACGTTACATGTATCCAGGTAATAACATGGTGAATGTGAACGGTAACTGACCTTATTGTTGAAGTGAACTTGAGTGGACCCCTTGGCTCCGTCGCACCAGGCCACGAGAAGAGGACATCCTCCATCGTCCAGGAAGTTGTTGATCTCCGGAGAGCTGTGCAGTTTGGCCAGGCTGGCATCACCGGAGTCCAGACCAAAGTAGTTGGCCGTGGAGGCCAGCACAAAGTCCTTCCGCGGGTCCTTAGACATGATGGCACTTCTTCACTCCATGTAGGATGAGATTCTCAGTAGCTTCTACAGTTATCAAAATCATTATGATTAATTACTGTTTTTAATTAGAGTCACGCTCACTAATACCCTACTGGAGTTGTTAGAAGGGCACGCAGATAGAAGAAAAATAAGAAATATTTACAGTACAATATTTAGCAATAACCTCATAATTTAACAATTAAGCATAACATAGCAATCAATAATTTATGTGTCTATCTTGTCTCTAAATATGTCTTGACTAAGCAACAGATATTTCAACACTGTGTTGGAAGCTCCTTTTAGTCGAAACCAACTTTATTCCGAGACAGTACAAACAACAAAATATATGACTCTCAAAATCACAAACAAATTATGCGAAACTGAAATGTTGTTATTTCATGGCGACAGCTCTGCCAACACGTGAACGACGATTTAGATTTCAATTGCTGTCAGGCAAAAGTAATCCCAAGCACAACATCCGCAATGGAAAGGATACAAAAAGATATTTCGGACTTGTTGTCAGCTTTTCAGCTCAGCTTTAGATCGACTTCGGTGGGTGGGGAGGGGGGCGTTCTGCGTCATACTACCGGCGACGAGCGACATCCGTAAATTGCATGATTCGGAGACAGTCAATTCTAGAAAGCCTGCATAAAAACACAAAGTGATCTTACCTACGTGTACCTACGTTAGGCTGGCTACAGTGTATTCCTGTTATGTTTTATGGCGATCTAAAACTTTGCCTGAAGTCTTCTGCTGCATTCGTTTCCAGCGCCAATACATCCGAAGGTATGCCGACTTGGTAGATGTCTCAAGCACGTTTATATATGTGCCTAAACAAAAGTCTGCAAAATTCTGCATCATTTGCAAAAAAATCAAATATTTTATAAATAACGCAACACATTACTTAACATGTGAGAGAAATATTATTTAGCATTAGATATTAGTTGGACTTTTTAAGTTTTTTTCTAGAGGTATTGTGCAAATAATGCAGGCACTAATTTGAAATACTTTGAACAGCCTTTTGTTTCGTAGGCACTAGGCAACGGAACGCTTGACAGGTGATGGTTTTGGCAACGACCTAGGGGCGGAGCCAATATCAAATCCGTGGCGATTACAAGTGTGGGGCTATAGTTGCATTTAGGGCGCGATACATTTATTCAGCATATATATATGATGGTAACTATTTGCGGAGAGGATGTAGGACTTGAGAGCTATAATAGGTTTGATAACCAGGCTAGGGGGGAGAGGGCCTCGAAAAAAATTGAGTAGGGTGGGGTTGGGGCTAGGAAAATAAATTTACCTGGGAGAGGGCCTTGAAAAATTTTTTTTTCTGACTTTTTTATACACGTAATTTGAAAACATGATTTAACATTAATTATTTATTGCAATATTGCTTACAAAATAATGACCAAGGTTACAAAATTTCCTTGAAATTCAAGTTTAATTGCTTTGATATAGGGCTCTACTAACAGTGCCCTGTTTTAACCCGGCCCATTCCTTCCACTTTGATATCTTATTCTTAATCCATCATCACAACTGGGCCACCTCTTACGGTACAAAAGCGCTACCTTGTGATGAGTAGTGGTACTTCAGCCAAAGATCTTGGACCAGAATTAGACTGTGCTGGAAGAAGAAACTTCATGTATTTTCTTTTATCTGCGGCTATATATACATGCACAGACAACAAATGATGAATCCAGCTTTCTAAGAAAAAGGTCAACTTTATTGGTGATATGGGAAACATCGCAACAACAACAATGAACATATCTGCAAGGATTTTTCCTACTCCACAGTAAAGTCCACTAGAGCTGAGGTATATAACAATCAGGAACAAACAATGTTCCTCCAAACACACTAAATCTTCCTCAACACTACTTCAACCCACAAACTGGCCGGAAATGTACACCTTTAAGTAGTGGTCAGAAGGACATAATTTACAGTTTTTTTTTTATAAATAGAATATATCATTGATTGACTGAACTGCACACATTTATGGAAAAATAGCTCATTTGGGATATTTACATGTTTATGTGTGGTAAACACTGAAGAAAAAAATTCAACATGGCCTAGACTAGCTGCTCAAGGGTACCTATCACATACATGTCATTAAATTCTAGTGATAAAGAAAATAAATTGCATAGCTGTGCTGGGGGAAACGTAAGTACAGGGAGTTAAGGTTTGCTGTGATCCCAAACTACCATGACTACTAAGGTTTGCATGTCATGTACATGTACTCTCTAGGTACATTGTAAGTCCATAGAGACGGCTTTTACAAAATGCCAATTTTTCACAAGTTACAAGGCAGCGATATCGTACAGCTCTAGGCATATTCCATTCCCTTGAGTTCAAGCTATATGAATTGTTCATAAACAGTTTATCACTGCAACTGTTTAAAAATTACAACTTAAGAATTAACGTTTCCAAGTACGAGACTTAGGTACAAGCCAGTTGGAACAAGACATCTTTGAAATCTAACAATTCACAAAGCCTGCTATGTACATAAGCTCAAAACGCAATACATACCTGAATGAAAAACTGTCTATTGCTTTTTGGTTCTTTCGTACATATACATGATTGATAGCAAATGAAGAATTTCACATGAAATAAGCAATATACAATGCCAAGCCTCATTTAGTCTATACTGTGTACTCAGTCTGGTAAATCGAACACAGAAACACTTCTAACTAAAAATCTAACATTACAGCTCTTCAAGACATTGTCAATATGTAATGTATGTGTTGACATTATGTTTGATCAAGTAACAGTCCATTAGAAAAGACAACATTACTCTATAAAAAGAATTAATATACTTGGAATGGTTATGACAGTTTTTTTGTTTCTTAGACTTAGTTACAAGTGAAATGTTATAACTAAGTACCTAACCCAAATATTTATACTCCTAGAGAAAGCACCATTGCAAATTGTTACAACTGCACTAGCTTTTGTTGTCAATTATCTATGTATGCTTGTCAGAACTTCAATATATGTGACAGCAACAGAAATTTATTTTTTGTTCATTCACTGTTGTAACGTTATAAATACTGCAGTTTTGTCATGGTTGTAGAAAATATGCTACAAATTTAACAAAACCATGCTCCATATACACATTACCTACTAATACTGTGTGTCAATCACACTTTGTTCAATGCATGCTGAGAACACAAGGGACACTTGGAGCTAGCCAAAGCCAGTGCTTCATCATACAAGCACCACTTCTTCATCTACAAATACAGCTGCAGTCTTCAATATGAAGCACAAGGTCTCTAACTTTACAGTGAGGAGACACGTTGGGTGTTTTTTTTTTTTCTGCATATTGCTTCAGTGATGACAGTAGGTTGCTGACAAATCATCAAGTATCTTATGAATCCTGCCTGGGCCTCCATTCAAATTCTGAAATACTGATGCATGACGATTGTATTTCAAATATGTGTGTTAATCGAATGGACGAGTCTGCAACAAACTGTTACATACACATATTTACACAGAAATGTACCAATTCCCCTCCTAAGCATGATGGTATTGTGCATAACATGAGTATCGCTGCTTCACATTATTTTTAGCATCTTCAACCCAAACCTTCAACATGGAATTTCTCACGAGAATACTGGTAATGACAAATTCATAACTGGTATGCTGGAGGTTAACGTTGCAACGTCTTTCATATCAGCATAGAGTTTCACAGACGCAACTGATGCCGACTCTACCATACATATTACCTACATTACATAACAGTAGGATTTTCAGTAATACATACAATGTACTTAGCTGTTTGTGACATAAGTCTTCAAAACTGGCCAAATAAGGATGTGCGTTCCCCCATACCTAAACTACAAGTGTTTGAGATGTAAGGAGTATGCTGCTAGGATGAAGATTTCTACTTGTCCACACAGCATACTGACTGTTTCCAATGTTGGTAATACTATACATGTATCAAAGGGTTCAAACTGCAGGTGTGAGAAAACCAGATCAAGATAAAGTTTTCTCGTCGGAGATGGTGTTGATGACGCAAGTGTTTCGGGACCTGGCGTTAGCATGAAGATTTCCCCATATCCACACGGCATACTGACTGTTTGAGAATGTTGATAATACCGGTACTAATAATACATGTATCAAAGGGTTCAGACTGCAGGTGTGAGAAAACTGGATTATTAAGATGAGGGTTTCTCGTCGGAGATGGTGTAGAAAATCCCGGTGTCCGATGACGTAGACTGCGACCTGGAGAGCGACTTGCGTTTCTCCGTTGGGGATCGCCTCCTCTCGAGGGTGGGCGTGATGGAGGTACGTGGGACGCGAGCAGGAGAGCCCATGATGATGGGGGAGGCTGCGTCGATGGGGGAGCTGCTGCCGCTGTTGCGCAGCTTCCACTGCAGCTCCTCGTTCTCCATGGACAGCCGCTTGCTGGCGTACTCCTGCTGCTCGTACTGCTGCCTCAGCTGGGCGTGCTCGGTAGACATTTGCCTGGAGTTGGAAGTGGAAAAGCAAGATTGCTTCAGGTTTTCTTTTCGCATGAACAATACGTGGGTAGAATGAACTGCCGGGCCGGGTTGTGCAGGCTACGACAGTTAAGGCTTTTAAGGCCGGGCTGGCAGCCACCCTGCCATATCTACGTACCACTCCCCCCCCCCTCAATTATGCCCCATTTAGGGATGGTCAGAGGGTATTCAAGAAGAAGAAGAAACAAGAAATGCATAGCGTCAGCTTAGGTTAATCCTAAACGACATTTTACAAACCCCAGGCCTAGAAACTGGGCCATTTAATACTAGTATATAAGCTTGAATGATACAAGTAACATTAACATACATGTTATTATGGAATGTCTTTTGATTTGATCAATTTCACACAGTCATGTTTATTTGTGCTATATTCTGATTGTTGTCTGATAGTCTCCTAAGCCTTACCTCTGAAACTCAGATTTGATGGATAACATTGCCTCCATGTCTTCTGTCTTCCTCTCCAACATCTTAATCTTGTCCTTCAAGTCTGGGATTTCAGATACCTGTGACATATAACAGCAAGTATTGTTCCTGACACTTTGTTTCTTACAATATCTTTGATGGTAGTCTTTCAAAATAACAGATAGTACAAGCCTCACACACACAGGTGGTAACAGGCAAGAATGTCTGTTGCTTATTAACACTTTCCTTTTTTCATACTTTTGAGCACATTTATAGGCAATGCGGTACATACAAATCACACATGATTTCTAACCAACATCCTGTCTACCACATACTCAGATCTACCCAGTCTCCAATGGTAGTCTGTACATTACAGCCAGTTTACACACATCTGTCCTGGTTCACTTTCTGATCTAACCCATCTTGGTTGGTTGCCTGACTGCACTCAACCCATAAAACTCATGACATCCATGCTGGTACACTCTCATATCTACCCACCTGTTTCGCCAAAACTCAAGCAACTGGATATGATTTTGGACCATTTCCAAAATCTTCTCCAGTTGCTTTAGTAACTTTTTTTGGTATACACAATGTATCTTATTACCTGTCTAACCTTCACCGACGTACCCACCTGTTTATCCAGCTCCATGTTGCGTTTCCTCAGGTCGTGAACCTCCTGACTCTTGATGTCCAGCACGGCCTTCAGACTGTCCACTTCAGCAGGCAGATGTTTGTATGGGGTGATGGCAGCCTGGACACGCATGTCCGTGTCCTTGTTCAGCGCCTCCTCAAACATCTGAGCCTTGTCCTTCTGCCGCTGGTACTGGAAGTTCAGCGTTTCTATTTGGTCCTACAGGAAGAGGAACATTATTACATGGTGTAAGACTACAACTATGGATTTTGAATGTTTTCAGTGGTTTTATTTTAAATTCACAGTTTTCTCTGTGACCATTCAACTGCAAAATTATGACACATTAAATATGCATTTCCATTGCATTAGTACTCTACTACAGAATTGTTTTCACTGCAAACTTTAAAACACTGCAAAAACTACCTTTTTCCTTCTACTGTGAAACTAAGACCCCGCAAAAAGGTTTACTAAACTTTAAGTGCATTGGACACTAGAGGCAGCTACAAATGTAGAACATCTACAATAGCAGTACTGTTGTTCTTCTGATCCTTACCTCAAGAGAAAGTCTTGTCTTCTCAAAGTTTGTTGTCAGGCTATCTATTTGTTCCTGATGCTGCTGTTTTAATTCTGAAGACAACAAACAGAAAAACCTTGTTAGTTTTGATTATATGCATTACTTTTACTGCTATTACCCTTACAATAATGTACCAAACTGAATGTAATCATAACAATGTACTCCAGGGATGTCAAGACCAATATCTGTACAACGTTGGCCAATTTCTGCACCGACAATAACATAACCATGTTATAATACACAGGCTGGCAGGCCACCAAAAGACCTATGGCTTCTATCTGTGTCTGCACTCTATCATTTATCCGCTGATAACTTTATCTGCTTATAGGGTCTCAATGACTGCATGTGACAGTTGAGGTGGGTGGGTGCCAACTCACACATGTTCCAGACTTCACTTACCACTGATTGCTGATGTCTATATTTCTCAGGAGCCCTTTCATCAGCAGACAATCAGTAGCAAATCATTCCTAGACTATAGTAAATTGTACATGACTTATACTTATACATGTACTACGAGAGTGGATTAGCTGACCTGATCTCAGAGCAGTTAATTTAAACCCAAAGCTTTCATCTTTTCTTTTTTTATGTAAAACAAAAATTCAACACTAAGGCTTATCACAGGGGCTCAATACTACATTTAAACAAAACATATCAATCAGTTCAAAACAGCAAAAAAAATTTTTTTTTTGAAAACACCTTTGTCCCCTCAAATGTACTAAAATTGGATAGTTGGATGAAATGAAAACTCGGTTGTTTAATGTAGCTGGAGGTTACTTTGCTTCAAAATTATTCCCTGGAGGAGCTTGAAGGTGTGCAGGCTTGATTTGAGCCAGAAGGAAAACCATGCCTACATAAATTATCCACCAGAACAAGACAGGTTTCTAAAAGCTGGTGGGTGTGATATATTATATACCTTCTATCTCCTGTGCTTGTAGTGCCTCTAGGTTGCGGATCTCCTCTGCATGTTTCTGCTCCAGTTCTCGGGTGGCAGCCTGGTGGGCCTCACGGATCTCAAGAAGCTGCAGGGAAGGAAGGATAGAAGATCAAGGATCTACATCTACATCAGATGCTACATCTACATTGATACTGGGCAAAGCCCTCTATGGGGCACCCGGCATCGCACACAGGGTTCACGGCTAGTGCTGCTGGTGGGGTGGCATGAAAAAAAAGTAGAAGAAAGTGCCTGATGAAACAAAACAAACATTTGGTGCAATACTGGGCAAAGCCCTCTATGGGGCATCACACCCAGGGTGCACGGCTAGTGCAGCTGGTGGGGTGGCATAAAAAAAAAAAGTGCCTGACAAAACAAAACAAACATTTGGTGCAATTGTGAGTGGCCGCACTAGTATATGCCGACAACATCAGGGAGTCGGGGTAGCCCATGTGCCCTAGGATCAGTGCCCCAGTGTCAGATATCTCTTTCAATTCGAGAGAGGTGTTGGACAGATCGGTGAACTCTGCCAGCCCGTAGGCTGTTACGCCACCTCCTATAACCTTGGCATTCCTCCAATCTTCACTAACACCAGCAGTGCCACACACCCATCACAGGCTGCTATGATCAATAATCCTTACCTTACCTATAACGCTTGAAAATTTGTACCAACCTATATCCATTTATTTCCATATTTTCCTTGAAATATCTGTTCTATCTATGAGGTATGCACTTTTCTTTTCCATGAAACTGTAATCCTTGTATCTGTCTTCCATTCTAAAAGCTGAATTTTCCTGCATTTTACCACATAACTGTTTATTTCCATATTTTCCTTGCAATATCTGTTCTCTCTATGAGGTATCTACTTTTGTGCTTTTCTTTTCCATAAAACTGTAGTCCTTGTATCTGTCTTCCACTCTGAAAGCTGAATTTTCATGCACTTTACCACACAACCCTGTGGAGCATGCCCTGTGTCACACATCACAGCAGTTATGCCGGTATTACTGTCAAACATTTCACCATGGACACTGCCAGGAGGTGACGATTGAGCAAAATTGGATATTGATCCAACTTTTGCCCTTCCATCAACTGCTTTCATGCAATAGCCTAGTACATACATTTGTACCTTAGACACCAGAACCTACATTGAAAAATTCACTTTATTTTGAGCATACAACCTTAATTATCTACACACACAATTAGCAAATATGTTAGGAAAGGTGTTAGAATATTCCCTTTGCCATTTTTAGTTTCTGTTCACTTTCATCAGAGAGAAGAATTACAGTGTGCCAGTACCGAGTTCTGTTGGTTCATTTGGCATGGAAAAGGTTGAATATTCCATCAACCTTACCAGCAGACTACTGAGATTAGGTAGACCTGAATATGCCATGTACGGACATGTTGACCATCCGTCTTTTCAGAGAACATGCAAAGATACATGCATAAAATATGCAGAGCATAAAGCCATGATATTTTTTCCTAACTGTCATGAAAACTGACCAACAATCATTTTTGAGTCAGACGTTTACTGCCATAAACGATGAGACAGATAATGGCAGTCAGAATCATGACACACACAAGGAAAAATTCCTGGTGAAGTGATGCATATTTGATGAGGAGATTCTTCATGTAGGTGTGACCTTTCCCAGCCCTTGTCTGGCAATACCCTTCACACAGTGTGCCACTGCATCACCCCTAAGTGTGTGTGTCGACATACAAACAGCCTTTCTTGGCATGTTTAACGCAGGCTGGTGATAGGTATGAAGTATTCATAACAGGAGCACATCCTCACTGAATGTTTCATCCACAGATGGATAAAAAGAGCTAATTTGTAAAAAATATTTTTAGATATGGCACAAAGGAGAACAGACTATGAAAAATAAATGGTATGAATTTTCAGTTGGGAAAACCTTTCAAAGAGCTAAAAAGCATAACTGTTCCTAGTGGTCATATATAGTGGTATCTTATCTAAGTGTTTTACAGACTGAGGCCTTGTGTGAATTCTCTTCTTCTGGTACCACCAAACAAAGATGTTCTATCTATTACGGACTGTTCATTTACTCTTATCGCTAGTGCATTCCTTGCCTGAGACATGATTCAACCCAACTCTCCATCCATGATGGAAAGTTTTCTCCTAGGTTGGGTACTGGCTTTTGAACATGTAAGACATCACATCAGAAAGGTTCATGAGCCATATATAATCTCCTGAAGACAGCTAGCTAGCAGTAATTGAAAATCCTGCACAGATGGCCAATCGGGAAAAGCATTGAGCTTTCCAACAGGGATGAAATTCATCCAGTGAGATAAGCCCTCTTCAGTGCTGCTGCTCTCAGAAGAGTCAGGCAGATGCGGCAGGTTGAGATGCATATTGTACAGCTTCAGGAAGGAAAGTAAGGCTGGCCTTTGCAGCAGATCCTCCGGGAAGGGTCTGTAAAAGCACTCACTGACTCCAATCTGGAAAGCCAACTATCAGGGGATATTGCTGTGTGAAAGGACTAAGGATCATGACTATCTGGGCTAGCTTAGGACTGATGTAATGGTTCAGCATGCCTTAGGGAAATCCAGAGGGTGTATGCAAAACTCATCTTTACTCTAAATGCAAGAAAAAAACATGTAGAATTGCCTGCTGGTGTGCCTGATCAACTCCCACACATCCACCTGTCATGTCTAGTGGTTACCATCATCCATCAGAGAACTGCCTCTTCCAGTCATATCATACTCATGTCTCTTACTCTTTATGTTTCTTTTCGAAGCAGACAGTGTTTAGCAACAGACATAACAGGGAATATCAAGATGTCTGGAAAAGTTTTAAGTCTATGTCCATGGTGCTGAAAGCACTGTAACTGTTACCCTGATCATCTCCACTGGAAAACATTACTAGTCCATCAGTTTTCTTTAAATTTCAAAATAATATTGATAACAAGTAATGCAAATAGGATATTTCAGAATACAAGTCATACTGTACAACCCTTATACAACCATTATTTTAAATATTGACTATTGAGAATATTATAATTACGGCTGACAAAAAATCTTGTTCCTATGATTCATGTGTTTTGTGGTTCTTTACCAGTATGTTTTCCCCCTTGTTTGTTGTCACCAATTTTCTTCCTAAAGCCATCACATTCCAACCAAAACCCGAATCACATCTTGAATATTCTTGTTAATTAATGCCCATGCCCATAATTTAGTATAAAGTGATCTGTAGACCAACCAAGGCTCAAAATACCACCTACGCATGCAGGTTAGTGCAGGTAAAATTGGAGTTTTTCGAGGGTTGCCAAAATTGTTGGCAGAACCAACACACTTGTAGGTCTTGTCTGAATCACTGTGTTTTACACTCTCATCTCACACCTGCTAATGATATAGCAACATGCTCCCAATATCACAATCCTCAGCTATCTGATTGTATTGGTTGACCTCCTCTGAGAAAACCTAGTTCTGAATTAAACATACCCAAGCCAATTTTACACACCCTGGGACAAGGTCATGGGAATATCCATAGAAATCAATAACTGCGTGCATCAGTTCTCCTGAACTCAAGAACCTTCATGCAACAGCAGCCAAGATTTTCCACTCAACACCTAGTCAACTCCATATATATTCTAAAATCAAAAAGTACTATGGCATGGAAGAATACCTCACAGTCATCAATTCATAATAAACCGTTTGCAATTAGCATAATAAAACTGAGAATCAGTGGCCATTGTCTTGAAATTGAAAAAGGTTGACACCACAACACACCAGCCACTGAAGTTCAGTCATACATTCAACACCAGTGAAAGATCTGCCAAAGAATTTGAAGTCAAGCATTTCTGTCACATGTCTACCTGACCCAATTCTTAAATGCAGTACATTACAATTACATGCACACCGAAGTACAGTGCGAATGTGACCGTCCAACATCATTATGTTACTTGGGGCTGTAATTTGGTGTAAAGGTAGATTCATAACTTTGGACCCAAAAAAATTGGTCTATCTATATTATGTTACTTTGGGCTGTAATCTAGTGTAAAGGCACGAATATAAACATAACTTTGGACCCTAAAAATTGTTGTAGAGGCTTCCTCAAAGCACTCCATATGCCAAACCACAAATTTTGTGACTATACTCAAACCTGCAGATATCACATAATGACCAATATATAGAAGATCACAATTCAAGATATGGAATAAAAAACAGGACATCTTGCCAGGTCCAAAATAAGATTCAGGTACAATTGATTCTGAATCGGATCCCCCTTCTCCCCTTAGCCTGGTGGTTACATATTTATGAGCCACAGATCAATTCTAGGTGGGTGCGAATAGCCTGTATCTTGACGAGACCCTAAGCCACGTAATAACCTAACAATGCCGTGATGTCATAAAGAGATCAGGCCGGTGAGCCTGGCTGTTACTGATACATTACAGAGAGACAAAACTCTGTTTATCAGGCACACCATTAGTCAACTCTACACGTTTTTTCTTGCATTGGAATAAAGATGAGTTTTGCATATACCCTCTGAATTTCCCAAAAACCTTTGGAAATTATACCAGAATCTACCATATGATACTATAATTTCATACCAGTATCAAATCAACATAGACACCCAAATACTTATGTTTCAAAATCAGAACTCTGTTCTAACAAGATGCAGCTTGATATCGTATCACTAAAAGACTGGCAATTTAGGACAGGCTTGCAGCAGCTCACACATGAAACTGAATTTATCGTGAAGACAGCATCCTACCAATCTTGTAGAAAAATGAATTTGAGACTCAATTCCTGGGAACACATAGAGACAGAAACGTAACTGTAGTTGAACAATTTGAAGGTTGGGAATGGCTTCTGTGTACAGTCACTCAGTCAGTTTCTTAGAAACAGATATATCTGATTCATTGAGTGCTGTGACTAATAACAGTACAATATCCAATATAGTGACTCAAAAGAATAAGTTCTGATTTTGAAACGTAAGTATTTGGGTGTCTATGTTGATTTGATATCGGTATGAAATTATAGTATGGTAGATTTTAATTTCCAAAGGCACCTACGCCTCATTAATCTCTGACAACCTCTAGATATAATATACTGTTCCATATCAAAAATTCA